TGAGGATAGCTTTACAAATAAGAGGATCAGTAAATAAAATTGTTACTTGTTAATGATTAATCAACAGGATCATAATGTTGATTGTATCGATAAAAAATGGATTTTAAGGTATAACTATAATGAAGCATTGTTGAGCTCTGAAACCAAGTTTAATCGATTTCTCGTGCAATTTTAGGTCAGCTTCAGGAATGTTCATCAAAATAAGTTTATAACAATGTCGATATTTTGGTAAATTTCTAGCTTTCTGTCAGAAAATAAATTTACGGTTTCTATAATAGGGGGTAATTAGATATAAACTACAGTACAGCTGTACTTACACCCACATTCACAAGCAAAAACGGAGAACAAGCTCTGGTGACCTCACAGTCACGTGACCTCACAGTCACGTGACCTCAGGCTCATAATAACGTTACCACAGACCCAATCAATTGGGTTCTGGCCTGGTCAGCCCCCTGTCACCCGATCTTGAGGTGACGTACGACACCTCGTTAACCCAATCAATGTCTGGAAGGCTGCAAATTTTCACATGCCAAACTCACAAGGGTTTTACGGAGTTGTGCGAGATGACGATACATAGAGGCCGCAGAATTATGAGGACTGCCAGTTCCTGGTGGAACCTAAGCGATCCATGATATCATGACAGGCCCTATCAGGTCTTTGTTCGGGAAGTATAAATCATTGTGTGTTCTCTAAAATTTAGTTTTACTACAGTACTGAAATTTCTCATGAAAAAAGTCTCGTACACGTAATTACACAATGATACTTAAAATTATGTAGCGAATAATCTGATTTTGTATTCGAGTGACAGTTTTACTGTTAAGTAAGCCGTTGTTGTCGTTGTTTAAGTCCCTCAGTTTGCGTTATATTCATCTGAATAATATCATATTGTGAAGGAAGGAAAACTCAAGTACAGTTATATAGAAGTGTACAAATATTACAGTTTTCGTTCATTTTACTAGTTTAAGTTTAAGTGATGCACTTGATTTTAACAATTTTCATATGAAATATATTCAAGGCTCGACCGGGACCGCTTTTTTTGCCGGGCCTGGAAAAAAGTGCCGGGACCGGGATTAAGATCGGGACCCCGACCAGGAATAAGACCGGGACCGGGATTAAGCCGGGATTGGGACCAGGATCGTAGCTTTAAAAAATGTTACTTTCAATATTCTTTGATCTTATAATGTATAATCAATAATGGCGTTAGGTGCAGTATTTAAACAATGTGCTATGTCAGCAAGTTGGATGATCAAGTTGCTTGATCAAGTTGGTCGCAATTGGATTTCTAGAATATTCAACATTTGATTTTTGCGTAAAACATGCTACTGGTATTTGGTTATCCGAATCTATTGGAGTCCGATTAGCCGTCGCGTTGTGGTTTATCAGAGTGACTCTTTACATACAACACACAGTATGCACGCAGTGGCACACAGAGACAGCAACACACAGTTTGCACGCAGTGTCACACAGAGACAGTAACATACAGTTTGCACGCAGTGTCACACAGAGAAAATAACACACTGTATGCACGCAGTGGCACACAGAGACAGTAACATACAGTGTGTCCCTCCAGACAGCTTTGTTGTGCTGGTTTAACAAAGGGTCACACATAGAGTAGGCTCTAAACTCTCTTTGTAAGCGGGTAGTCCTGGATAATCTCATAATGATCAGATTCTTGGTGTTCAGTAATCAGTGCTATATGTTAATGTACTTTGCATTTAATCTACCTGTGGTGAGGATTTAATGTGCTTCTCTTGGAACTTTCAGAGCTGAGGGGGGGGGGGAGGGGTGTCCCGCGGTATATTGCCAATAAGGCAGCTGTTGTAAGGGGGGTCCCGCGGTATATTGCCAATAAGGCAGCTGTTGTAAGGGGGGTCCCGCGGTATATTGCCAATAAGGCAGCTGTTGTAAGCTACTAAGTAAGCTACTACCCGGGGGTAGTATAGTGCTGTGTTGCCCGATATTGGTATGATACTTATCGTGGTAGTATAGTGCTGTGTTGCCCGATATTGGTATGATACTTATCGTGGTAGTATAGTGCTGTGTTGCCCGATATTGGTATGATACTTATCGTGGTAGTATAGTGCTATGGCAGGTGCAATACTTTGCAAACTTACTTATACTGTGTTAATTGTGCGACAACTTCTTATCCATTAGCGCACTTTTGTAATATTGTACTGATAGAACCTTCTTTTATCACTCACCAATACGCTATCCAGTATTTTGACGTTTACAAGCCCTTTTTAAAATTTATAACTTCGTCAATCGCCATGTCTATATTATTAAATAACGGGTTTCTATGCTGTATTTAATAAAAATATCTTATCGGACTTTACCTGACCCTGGTGGAACCTAATCGATCAGTGATCTTACGACAGGCCTTTCTTTATTTGGTCGAACATCACATGAACGCTAAAGGGTTTATTTCTCTTTATGTCCACCCATATTAAAGTCCGGCTACCATATACGTTTAAATAAATTGTTGCGGCCTAAATATGTCCGCCAAAATATTGTCCGCCCATACATTGTCCGCCCAAAAAGGTCACATAAGGTGATCCGATAAGGTCCGATAAGGTCCGATAAGGTCCGATAAGGTCCGATAAGGTTGTTTCCTTGAAGTACAGTGCTTTGAATAGGGAACGTTCACAATTCACATATCAAATAGGTTGCAAGCCAGCTAACTCCCAAACTAATTCCACGATCTTGTCACTTACTAACTAGGTTAATCCTGGTCCTGAATGAAGATACGGTGACCGACAACTAGGAACCTCTCATTTCGGCCTCCCACAGGTATCACATCACATGGCCCAATCAGTGACGTATCATTTGTGATGTGATCCATATTATAACCATCCTAACAGCCGGACAACCAAGAACCTGGGTAGGGTTCACATGTCAGTTTAGTAAGTAGCTGTGTATTATGAAGTATATTAAGAAGTGTTTGAGCTCTCGGTATGTGTTCACATTACGGACGTGAGCCGGGTCCCAACGATGTGAGCCGGGTCCGAAAGGGGCTGGTTCTCGTATCCAAGGATGTGAGCCGAGCATGCAATGGGAGTGATACGAGACATAAAATCACAAGTGCGGGAGTTGATCAGCTGTTAATATACAACCGCACTTCTGGTATATATACTGAAACGTGAACATGAAGAGTATCGGTTTCAATTCAACATGCCTGCTTTCTCCAAATTCATCGAAGGACAGAGAGGATCTCAACAGCTGGTGGACACGGACGGTTACATCTACTCCAGAAAGAAGGCTAAAGATACAGCCATCCACTCTGCTTGGCGATGCCGGAAGCACAACCCTCCTACCAAGTGTCCCAATCATGCCTACCTCAACCTGTCAGATAACGCTTTATCCCTTGGCTCCAAACTCCACAACCACCCTGCTGACAACGCTGCACCACAGAAGCGTGAAGTCCTCTCCTCACTGAAGCGGAAAGCTGCTGAACAGCCCTTGTCGGTGACCCAGAACCTCCTCTCTGAAGTCCTAGCAGATTCAACCTCAGAAGCTAATCAGACGCTACCGAACATGGAATCCCTCGCTCGGGTGGTACAACGCAGTAGAGCCAAGGCGTCCGGATCTGCACAGCACTCTGAAGCGAAGACCTCAGAAGAATTCCTCCTCCCATCTACCTGCACCTCCACGAGACGGGACGAGCCCTTTGTTCTCTTCGACGGAAAGACAGATCGGAACGTACGAGTCGTTGCCTTCTCTACAGCCCGGAACCTTGCTACGCTGGCAGAGTACAACAACTGGATTGCAGACGGCACGTTTTACGTCGCCCCGAATATATTTACCCAGAGCTATACGATTCATGCTGTTATTGACCAGAAATGTTTGCCGATGATTTATATTTTGACTGGAGATAAGAAAGGGGACGCCTATCAGTATATTTTTAATGTGGCGAAGTTCTATTTTGACCAGCATTGTCCGGTTGAAACTGGTACAATAATGATTGACTTTGAGAAAGCGGTGATGAATGCGCTTCAGAACAGTTTGCCAGGGTGGGATATCAGCAATTGCTACCTCCATCTCTTGTCCGTCAGCCAGCATAATATGCTTATCCAATTGTGTTATGTGTACAATTATGACGGTTCACTATAATGGGCCTATAATTTAATTTTAAACTTTCGTAAATCCTGTGTAATTATATGTAATCCTTTGTAAATCCTGTGTAATTCCTGTGCAAATCCAGTGTAATCCTGTGTAAATCATACCTCATACCTCAGATTTAACCGGGCTCTTGCCAGGGCCTTAATTTTATCCGTTTAAAAATTGGGAAAAATTATCCCATATAAGGATTTAAAAATTAATATAAAATTGAACCAGTCAACCAGTATATTAGATTTGTGTAAGTTAAAATAGGGAATCTAGATGCTCTTGCATGTATTATTTATTCTGTTCATTAACACATTAATACGATTACGTTCATTTTGCAACTACTCAATAGAAAGCCATACAATAACCTTGATACAAGGCAAAGAGTTACGTAGTTTGATGCTACAGAGAGTAGCGGTAGTAGCAGAATACACTCGCTGTCAGTACAGTGGCAGTCAGTACAGTGGCTGTCAGTACAGTGGCTGTCGGTACAATGGCAGTGGCTGTCAGTACAATGGCAGTGGCTGTCAGTACAATGGCAGTGGCTGTCAGTTCAGTGGCTGTGACTGTCAGTACAGTGGCAGTGACTGTCATTACAGTGGCTGTCAGTACAATGGCAGTGACTGTCAGTACTGCAGTGGCTGTCAGTACAGTGGCTGTCAGTACAGTGGCTGTCGGTACAGTGGCTGTCAGTACAATGGCAGTGACTGTCAGTACAGTGGCAGTGACTGTCAGTACAGTGGCAGTGACTGTCAGTACAGTGGCAGTGACTGTCAGTACAATGGCAGTGGCTGTCAGTACAGTGGCAGTGACTGTCAGTACAGTGGCAGTGACTGTCAGTACAATGGTAGTGACTGTCAGTACTGCAGTGGCTGTCAGTACTGCAGTGGCTGTCAGTACAGTGGCTGTCAGTACAGTGGCTATCACTCCCTGATTCCTTAGTTTCAGATATTAACCCCATCATGCTCACTGACACCGATTACTAAGGAGTTACACTGGCCCAACATGATTTGAATAGTATACTAGTTATTACTACAACAATAGTAGTATAACGTGATCATATGTTAAATGTTAATTCATTCCTGTTATTGATGTATTGATATATTACTAGTGCTCCAGTAGCAGGGAGGGGTTGAGTTACTAGTCTCCTCCGTAGTGCGTCAATCTGCCTTCTCTTGGTTTCAGAACCCACTATGTTACCCCTCCGACTCCTCCTTTTCGTCTTCCTTTCAATTGCTAGGTAAAATATTTTGCAGACTTTTTAGAAATGTATGCTGATAAAACTATTTATTATTGTACTGCAGGGTGATGTTGTTATAAGTTCACTCAACTGTCTTCTTCTTATCGTAATTTTATATATATAAATTGTAATATATTAATCGGTAGATTGGAACCGCTGTCCATGGAGGAGAAGTTAAAAGTTTCCACCTCTAAATATACCGATATAATTCACGTGAGTTGTCAATATTCACAAGATCTTGGGCACCCTTACAACTATAATTGGGTAATGTGGAATGTCACTTCCACGTAGCTTCTCTCATCAGTAACTTAGACTTCTACAGAACAGAGAGAAGAGATGGAAGTCAGATAATGGAACGTACAAAATAGAGAATGACGAGGACTTGTTTAACCAGTTCACAACGGAACAGTTTACCTGGATCGACAATGTGTTTACTAATAAAGATCCCTCCTACTATAACTACACTGGCTACAACTCTTTCGAGCCTATAAGAAGGTTTGTCCCCCCCCCCCCCCCCCCCCCCCCCCCACTACACTCTGTTACTAGAGTCCTCCAACAAAGCAGCTCCTTTCTAACACACCGCCTTTAGTGAGATGTGAAAATGCAAAAGTTAATATGAAGCATTCCTTTACATGGCACTTTATTTCAATACATCAAAACGCACCAAACCGCACCAAACCGTACCGCAACGCACCAAACCGCATCAAACGTACAGATTAGCTGTACAGATTAGCTGATAAGTAGGATTACGTGTTTCAGTGAGCTGTACAGATTAGCTGATAAGTAGGATTACGTGTTTCAGTGAGCTGTACAGATTAGCTGATAAGTAGAATTACGTGTTTCAGTGAGCTGTACAGATTAGCTGATAAGTAGGATTACGTGTTTCAGTGAGCTGTACAGATTAGCTGATAAGTAGGATTACGTGTTTCAGTGAGCTGTACAGATTAGCTGATAAGTAAGATTACGTGTTTCAGTGAGCTGTACAGATTAGCTGATAAGTAGAATTACGTGTTTCAGTGAGCTGTACAGATTAGCTGATAAGTAGGATTACGTGTTTCAGTGAGCTGTACAGATTAGCTGATAAGTAGAATTACGTGTTTCAGTGAGCTGTACAGATTAGCTGATAAGTAGAATTACGTGTTTCAGTGAGCTGTACAGATTAGCTGATAAGTAGGATTACGTGTTTCAGTGAGCTGTACAGATTAGCTGATAAGTAAGATTACGTGTTTCAGTGAGCTGTACAGATTAGCTGATAAGTAGAATTACGTGTTTCAGTGAGCTGTACAGATTAGCTGATAAGTAGGATTACGTGTTTCAGTGAGCTGTACAGATTAGCTGATAAGTAGGATTACGTGTTTCAGTGAGCTGTACAGATTAGCTGATAAGTAGAATTACGTGTTTCAGTGAGCTGTACAGATTAGCTGATAAGTAGAATTACGTGTTTCAGTGAGCTGTACAGATTAGCTGATAAGTAGAATTACGTGTTTCAGTGAGCTGTACAGATTAGCTGATAAGTAGAATTACGTGTTTCAGTGAGCTGTACAGATTAGCTGATAAGTAGGATTACGTGTTTCAGTGAGCTGTACAGATTAGCTGATAAGTAGGATTACGTGTTTCAGTGAGCTGTACAGATTAGCTGATAAGTACGATTACGTTGACGTGGAGGTGTATGGAATAACGCACGAGAAGAGGGAACTGATCGCACTTCATATCAACAAGGGAGATAAAGATGATGTAGTGGTCCTGAACAGTCTCATTCACGCCAGGGAGTGGGTAGTCGGTTGCGTCACCATGAACATTATTCACCGGGTAATTAATTAAGTAATTAGTAATTACTCATTACCACTAATTAATGGATTCTACCTGATGTTATTACATGTACACTTTACAGTCGTTATATAACCTGTCTCACCTAGTTGCTGGAGTACGACACAGTCGGGGCTAAACTCCTACTCAACAACTTCCACTTCGTTATTATTCCTGTGGTGAACCCTGACGGTTACGAGTACACACACACAAAGGTAAATGCTCAACTTCTAGTTTCTTTCTACATTTTCTTCGATCAAATGATCTGAAAATTGCAGTGATGGTTCACTAACTAAGCAAAGTATTAGTATTATAATTTACACAATTCTCAGAACAGAATGTGGAGAAAGAACAGAGAACCAACATTAATGCCCGGTTGTTTTGGAGTGGACATTAACAGGAACTTTATGTATGGCTATAAACCATGTGAGTTAAGATTTATCTTAAATAAAAGGAACATGTTGATGATTTGAAATCACATAGAAAAGAAAAGCATATAACATTGAATTAATATAACTTTCAATGACGACGAACTATTTTGTGAAATGATATTGCCAATCAGCATAAGTTTTATTTTCTATTACTAGATTCCCTTGATTGTGGCCTGGTAGGTAAAATTATATCTAATTGATAAAAGCACTACTATCTACTACTTCTAGTACTACTACTACTACTACTACTACTAACAAATATCTCAGTTGTAGTTGGGATCGGTAATAATAACAATGGGCCTTGCAGCGAACAGTTCCCCGGAACTAAAGCTCTCTCTACCAAAGAGAGTTTGGTAAGTTTTCAGCTCTAGTTTATATCTTATTGGACTTTATTTGAACGGACACTCATTGGACGCTGGAGGTCCCAGCGTTCATTTTAATTTTCATTCAAAATAATGTCCGTTCAAATAAGTTAGATAAGGTAACTTATTCTTTGCGATAATTCAAATAAACGGCCTCATGCCGATTTAATGGATTGAAGATCGGAAAAACTGTTTCAAGTTTTCTTTGAGATCACTACATTAGAGGTAATGGGTCCACTGCACAGGCTCTGAATCTACTGTTGTTCAAGAACCGCCACAATATGCGTTACTACATAGACTACCACACATACGGTAACATGTGGACTAACGCTTACGGGGCCACTAGCTGGCTCCCTAAAAATGAGAAACAGTTGGTGAGTGAATTTATATTTTACAATATTAAGCAAACATTAATTGTGTTATATTTTTAAGAACATACTGGTTTTTAATTTAATAAGATTCGCAATTTACTATTACTATATTTGTCAAGGGGCATAACATTTAAAAATAGATGTCCTTACAAAAAATCACTTACACATTTAACATGTTCACGAAAAGTACATGTTAAGACCAAAGTATTGCTTAACATTATTAAGACGATGATAGGTATTATACCTCAGTATATACAGGGTGGGCCAAAAGTCAGTGTGCAAACGTTGGTCTTAATAGCTCAGTCACTGAGTGCCCAATTGAAATACTTCCTTCTGGTATGACTTAGTACCACCACTGGTTCGAGGAATTTGTCAACTCGAAAAATATTCGCGTTCATTTTTTTCAAATGGAGGTTCATTTTCACATTTTTTTGATAGTTTGGATAATCGGATCAAGCTAAATGTTATTGAATTGTGTTTGGCCATTCGAATTACATTTGCCCTGAAAGAATGAGAGTTCTAGCTTCTCAGATGACCGAGATATGAAGCATAACAAGCTTGTTCATTACGTGTGATCAGGTGATTGGTTTACCTAATCACGTGATAAGGTGACCCCGTTAACTACCCCGTTAAACATTATGGGAATTGTTAAGGGTGCCCAATTAAGGTGTCGTGTCACGGTGTCACATAATCACCCAGTCAATTTGTTAACGAGATACACAAAATGCTTGTTAACTTCGTCATTTCTAATCCGTTTTGCCTCATTTTTTCAGATCATATGCAACATTTGATAATCTACCGTCTCTAAAAAAATTAGGCGTTCAGGATTTTCAGAGAAAACAATATAGGTGTTTTAATATTGAATGGGCGTGGTCTAAAATATTCGAATTTTCAAATTTTGACGACGGAATCCTCGAACCAGTAAGTACAGTATGCCATCTGCAAAGCAACAGCTCTCAAATATAAAACTCAGCGGAGGTATAAGACCCAACGTTTGCACACTGACTTTTGGCCCACCCTGTATTATATAAGTATACAAGTATATGATATCTGTTTAGAAACGATACAGAGAAAACGTGGAGCGCAGTTTTATGAATTCGTTAGGAGTAAAGTGGAAAACAGGAGGAGTACACGAGGTTATATGTAAGTAACCACACTCACAGTGTTATCTGTAAGTAACCACACTCACAGTGTTATCTGTAAGTAACCACACTCACAGTGTTATCTGTAAGTAACCACACTCACAGTGTTATCTGTAAGTAATTAGTAACCACACTCACAGTGTTATCTGTAAGTAACCACACTCACAGTGTTATCTGTAAGTAACCACACTCACAGTGTTATCTGTAAGTAACCACACTCACAGTGTTATCTGTAAGTAATTAGTAACCACACTCACACTGTTATCTGTAAGTAACCACACTCACAGTGTTATCTGTAAGTAACCACACTCACAGCGTTTACCCAACAATTTTTGAATTTTTTCTAGAAATTTTTGAAAGTTTTTACAGCAGTATCCGTTTCAGACGAGTGTAATGGAATTCTGGTTGATCACGCGCATTACTACATCACACCTATAGCTTTCACTGTTGAGGTGAGATTTGGTGAAGGATAAAGAGAAATTAACAAAAATTGTGGCACCAACAGATTTTTACACACTGTGTAACACACTGTGTAACACGCTGTGTAACACGCTGTGTAACACACTGTGTAACACACTGTGTAACACACTGTCTAACACACTGTGTAACACACTGTGTAACACACTGTGTAACACACTGTGTAACACACTGTGTAACACACGGTGTACCACAGGTGGGATCTACTCACGATGAGTTCACAGTACCTGACACCCGGTTAGACACCTACATTATCTCACAGTGGTTAGCTCTCGTCTCCCAGCTCGAGCTTCTCCACTCGGAGATACAGTCAGGACAGTACATGGAGGACAGGTAATAGGACTAATAGCATACTTATAACTAACTCTGCACAGTGGTAGGGATTACTCAACAACTTCTCTAAAACTTGAATTCTTTTAGTAGCAAAGTATTGTACATATTAAGAAGATAACACTTATTTTGTATTTTACATATATTACTTATAATTATAATTATATATATAATATTATATTACTTATAATTATATAAATAAACCACAGAACGAGGAACTGGAGACGGACTAGCATGATGAAATGAACTTTACAAGAAGGAGCATACACTGGGGAACAATAGCGTTATATTAAGTTGCTAGGTAACTAGTATCTAGTAGTACTACTTATCTAACAACGAAGGGAATATGTGTTCAGTGTTGTGTTCATTCATTAGTTATTTATTATTATTATTGTGTTAATTTAGATTAGCTTTAACGTTAAAGAAGCAAGTTTAGCGAAAAAATTGTCAAATTATACCTGGTTAATTAGAATATAATTATAATATTCAAAATGGCAGACTCGAAATCAATTTGAGGAGGAGTAATTCAGTAATATGAACTTTAAAATTAAAGTAAAGAGGGGTAAAGAGATATGTTTCTGTTTGGAGACCAAAACAGGCAAGAACAAAATTATGAGCTGAGAACGCCAGGGGCATAGACATGACATATGAAATATTGTCCATTACCCACGAGTATATCACAGTGCTGGCAGTGGCAACCATGACCGTGCCTCTATTATCCATTTTATACTATTATACCCCCTTTACTGTTTTTTCAGGCATTAAGGCTCATTGGAAGTCGTTTAGCAGATTTATTTTCAGTTCATTCTAATTCGATTTCAAAAATGACAGGAATATTAAGAAATAGTTATGTGGAGGTTTTTAAGAAATTTGCGCAAAATACTCGCCAGCACTGTTAGTGTTATAGGAAATTCGATAAAAAAACCCAAAATCGCCATATATTCAGGCACATTATGATTTATAAGTCTTATTTAAATATGGTCATTGCGAACATTTTCCATTTTTGGAAAAGTTTCTGCGACCTTCTTAGCTTGAGATATAAAAATAATGTGGTATTTTGGGCCGCGATGAGCAAAAAAAAACAGTTTTTCATGAATATCTTTAAAAACTGGGCACTTAAGATCTATATTTTTTAATAACTTGTAGATAATCATAAATATTAATAAGGCTATAAGGCGGTTATCGGGTTATTTTAAGATAAATTCAAGTCTTTGAGTCCTTCAGAAGCCGAGATACAAAAAACCCCAAATTTACGCCTGAGGGCAATTTAGAAAATTTGTCCTGTGGGACTTGGACTAGCGATACAAATTGGGTACCTAGATGATTTTGGTGTGTAATGACCTAATGAAATACCCTGTGTGGTCAAAAATTGGCCCCTGGCTGATTACGTAATACGTAATATGTTAACGTGACCCCTAATGTTGAGTTGCTCGGACATTGAAGCTGCTCCCTGGGCCCTGATATAATATTAGTCGCAGTAAAACAAAAAATTAATTTCACTAGGAGGAAGATTTTTCACATGTCTGCACTTAGAAATTCAATAACTTGTAAAATAGTCAGATAAATCATCATGATTATAGTATTAATTATATGTTAAACTGCGACCTAGTTTTATGGCCAGACATCGTTTTGTGAATATAATTGAGTTATCGAAGTAATGGAAAATGCTGGCTAGGGCTTTAGAATTACAGAGCTCATGACTAATTGAGTTAGAAGCTAGTTTGATAAATCACCGTGATTATAGCACGAATATATTAAATACTATGTGCCAGCTTAGTCTTACAGCCAGGGTGTTTTTTGTGTATACTTATAGTTATACGTATAAATATAATTGAGTTGTCGAAGTAAAATAAAATCTCACTTAAGTTTTAATTTCAGGTGGAATTTTTTACATGTCTGTTTACTGATGAGGTGATACTGATACATTATAAAATATTGTCCTCACAACTGGCCTATAAGTATAAGCAAAGCCTCACAAAATTCAGAATGTGGCTGTGCTGTTTAGTGTTTATCTAATTCTAGCAGCTATGTCCAGTCCAGATGAATCCGTAGTACTGAGATCAGTAAAGAAGGATCTTTTCTCTGACTGTGATCTTTTTAGAGACCATCTACTCCGGACGTTTGAATTTTCAGAAACCATTCTGAGCCTTTTTTCTATTTAATACGTTATTTACCTTTTTTGTCATTGTTTTTGCTATCAATATCGTGGGATTATTTTTCTACATATTAGGTAATCCCTGAGGGGGGTTCACATTATCACATATTAGGTAATCACCGACTGAGGGGGGGGGGGGGTCGTTCACATATTAGGTAATCCCTGAGGTACATTTATTTTGTCTATTGTATTTGCTGCCAAACTAACAATCAAACTCATGATCAGGCATGTTAGTGACTGCCTTGACTTTGCTGGCCCTGTTCCAGTTCGCAGTTGGAGCTTTTACCACTGGTAACCCTACACTGAGGATATACGAACACTCTAATCAAGGAGGACGGTACAAAACACTTACAAGTCCATCTGCAAACCTTGCTAACATAGGTTTTAATGATGACACCGACAGCGTTTATGCAATCAGCGGAGATTGGGAGCTTTACACCCACGTAGATTACATCGGAACAAGGTTCTATGTGGAGGAAGGTCAGAAGTTAAACGCAAAAAACATTAACGCTTATTCCTCAGCAAGACCTATAAATTGCCGCTACATCTCCGATCCCAATACAGCTAAATTACGTGCCTCTAAAAGTTCCCATCTTCAGTATGGAACGACGGAGTACCTGTTGCCACAGGAAGATTTAGGAGCAGATATGAGAAATAGGATAACTTCTATGGTTGCCGACAAAGGAGACTGGGAGATGTATGAGTGGACAGGCTATCAAGGTGCCAGATTAGTGATAAAAGAAGGCGAAACTATCGACAACCTTAATGGATGGAGTAACAGGATCGCTTCTCTGAGACCTATCTGTGAGGCGTACAAAGGAAAGGAAAAGTGCACACTGTCCAGAATCGAAGTATTGGACAAGGAAGGAGATTTAGAGCCTAAGTACACTGGAACCGAAATCATCGGCTCTCAATCCAGTGGATCCTGTTACGGACCAGCCTCACACGAGATCGCAATAACGCAGGTAAATTCTGTGGAAGAATCAGTAAGTCTCGAAATTTCTAGAGAAGATGAAGTGAACTGGGACGTAACAACATCTGCAGAAATATCCGTTGAAGTAGGATTCCTGGGAACTGGATCATCTTTCTCAGCGGGCATTTCCATAGGAATAGGTGGAGCTATTACTATGGGAACCTCTGAAACAACAGAAACAACGATTAGCAACACGAAAGAACACGGACAGGTCACGGAATTTGAAGTGCCGGGTGCAGGGGTCGTCTTCGGTATTGTGGACAGGTATGAGATTGGCCAGTCTGATATACCGGTGAAGATGCACATGACTTGTCCGAGCGGGGTTGACAAAACAGTGGACTCCACTATTGCCATGAAACAAGTTTCCTTCGGAGCAGCTCACTTCTGGTCACTAACAGGGCAGTTTACTAAAAACGCGTGCAAAGCTAACAGGAGACTGCCAGAATGTGTTGAGAATGTAAGAAAGCGCTTCAGAAACTATATTGGACAAAAAGAGAAGATCGAAAAAGCGTTTGAGAAATGTTTTTCTGACGGGAAGGGATCTTTTTAAACATGTGTGGTGTGTACGTATTCCTATTGAGTATAATTGCAGTTATTCAAATTAATTTATTGTCTTAAAAATTGTTTAATTCGACTTTAGCATTCACTGGCACCAAAATCGTGGTTTGAAAATTGCATATATACCTGCCAATTTTACAACAATATAAAAAAAGGTAAAAAACGGACACAATTTGTTTCAGAAAAATTTCGTACTTAAAAGCAGTTGTACGGTACGTACTAACAAAAGTAAGTACTTTAAATCGGCTACGGTACGTACTTTCCATCTTAGCACAGTGTTGGCAAGCATGACCGTCGCCGTTATACCTCCCATACTATTATACCCTCTTTACTGTTTTTCAGGCATTAAGAATAAGGCTCATTAAAGGTCGTTCAGCAGGTTTATTTTTAGTTCAAAACATTTTAATTCGATGTCAAAGATGACAAGAATAAGAAATAGTTATGTGGAGGTTTTCAAGAAATTTGCACAAAATACGCGTCAGCACTGTTAGTGTTATATGAAATTGGTAAAAACCCAAAATCGCCATATTCAGGTGTCTTAAAAAACCATGTTAAAATAGAGTTTGATGGGTAACCCGCTGGTTTACGTAATATATAAACGATCCAATAAAGCGTTGACGCAGGAAAGAAACTGTATTCGAGAACTGAAATTTATCTTTAAATATTAATACAACTTACAATAATTGCAACTATACTTTGATCATACAAGGCTAGGAGTGAGCCAAAAAGGAAGTGACACTAATTTGGGAGGGGGTAGGGGGGACACTGAAGTGAAATCAATTAAAACATAAGAAGTGTTTTAGCAAAGTTAAGACTGTATTTATCACTAGTAATCGCTCATTAGCGATTGCTAGCATATATATATAGAACTAATGTATCATTTTACTGGACTATAGAATTTATGTATCATTTTGCAGAATGTAGACATACACGGCGATTTTTTTTAAATGAACTAATTCATCAAAATGTTTAAAAAATTGCATCTGTTATTTTAATTAGATAAAAATTAACTGATTCTCGTGGTTTGCTGTCAAGTCTTAATGTATGACTACAGTTTAACCCCGATTTACCGCGGAGTTTGGGGGAAAGGGGCGTGCCAACTAAATCGCTCGCATCAATTTTTTAAATTCTTGTGAAAAGGATCTAAGGGTATGAAAGTAATCGAAATCGGTGTATTTTTTGACGCTGATTCCGAATCCCCCCATGATCATGACGTATGGTAAAATGCTTCCCCGGAGAGTTATGGGCAACAAAACTGTTTTGGTCACGTGACAAGTGAGTGTTATGGAGGTTATGGTTATGGCTGAGATAAGGGTTTATGTAAAACCGTTTTGTTCGGCTGCAAAACCATGAAAACCAAAGTCGCGTGATAATTTTAAGGCGAGCGAATTAGTAAGAGCCAGGAAAGGAGACATCCGCGGTAAATCGAGGTTTGTGGTAAATCGGATGTTTGTTTGTTTACATTATGCATGTTAAACCCTATTTGGGGAATGGAGATGGCTGCGGTAAATCGGGGTTTGCGGTAAATCGGGGTTTTACTGTACCATCAAAGCTCAAACTTATAGCTTAGAGATATACTTGTAATTGTCTTCATACACTTTTAATACTAGAGCATTTTTACCGGGCGGCTCAGCCTGTCATTCCGCCGAATCTCTATTTATGTTTATGAACATAATAGCCTGGGGTCCCCAGGTAAGAGCATTTAAACTAGAAACCCACACTTAGATCTAACATATTTAACCAGGCTGGCCCCCCTTAACCATGCAAATAGCGAACACACTTCTTGGTGCCACATCTGCACTCTACAGAGAGACGCTGCGCGGCACGGTTATCTTCCTCCACTATCCGATCTATCTGGTAGTTGAATGTCAGCTCTTCTCCAGCCTGAATTAGAAAGGTTGTGAGTATAAAGTTAGTAGGTAAATATAATCAATAATAATCCTTGCGGGGGACACGGGGCTTGACGACAGCAAATAGATAAACAAGCTGGATAGACAGATTGAAGCTTCCCTAAGTCGAGTAAGTCGAATAAGAACATATGACTTTCCTAACATAATTAACATTAATTAATATTTCAAAACATTTACTGTCAAATTTGAAAAAGCAGGTAACTAAAATGACGACACATTTGTGGGACTTACAGCGATACTTTTTACAGCAAACAAACAAATGTGCGGTAATCTGAGATCCAGATTGGAAATCCAGCAGGAGAACACCGCCAGATTAGGATCGCACTGAAAAGATAAATAATTCATAATTAGTAAATAATTTAAACTTAATATACAGTAATACCACTATTTTAAATAGTGGTATTACTGTATATTAATATTATATTACATGTTTAATTTGTATATAAAAGCACTAAAAGTATAGTTATATATGTGGTGAGCGTTAGCTGAGATTTGATGTGATATTGAAAAGTCAGTTATGATGGTATCCAGCCGCAGTCGCCTCAAGATAAACAATTGCATAATCTTAAGATTGATGGTGATCACTGATCAATCAAAAATACATAGTTATATACTACAAGTATAGCTCAACATCACCTATCATGAAATAGAATATTCAAAATGAAATAGATTCAAAATGATGAAAGTAATAGAAGTAGAACAAAATACAATCAACTTAATAACACCAGAATGTGTGTGTGTGTCTGTGTGTCTGTCTGTCTGTCTGTGTGTAATTTCCGAGCGGTTATACAAAAAAAACGGTAATAGTTACGGGACTGGTTTTTTCGGTATAGTGCCGACAAAACTCTGATGAAGCCCATAGGAAATTTTTTTAAAAATCGGCCGGTGGTAAGTGGTTTAATTGATGGTTTTGTACCACAAATGTTACATAAAATTGCTTGAGCAGAACGGCAAGAGTTACGGGGCTTGCTCTCTCTCTCATTACTGTGTAATGTGTTATAGCTGCATTTAAGTAGCGTCATAATTGGATTAGCCCGGAAGATTCGCTGTAATGTTATACCTTAAGCTTATTAGTAGGGGAGGGGGGACTGTTAGTGTTTGGGGTCTGTTTGGACTGCAGAGAGAGAGAGAGAGAGAGAGAGAGAGAGAGAGAGAGAGAGTTCATACGACAATGTTATGCGTGTTTTCAAATATAATATGCGGGTGTGGTGCGGAGTTAACAAGGGTTAATTTCTATAACGATTTAAATAAAAATAGAAAGCGGTTCAAGACGGGAGTGATGAGGTGTAATACTCGGTGTTCAGACCTTATGATCATGGAGTGTGGTGCCTCATGGCTAATAATGACTTAATTATCCACAAGAAATAACTGATTATGAGATTATTGTTTAAGAAACTATTGGGTCACCTAATGCGGGTTTTGACTCAGCGGGTAATTACTCCTACCCTTTTTAACTGCGGCAGTGAAATCCCGGCCGTAGGCCGGGTTACACTAGTTATATCATAATGTAAGGTTCACAATTCACACACAAACTTGTAAAACTAACACTGTGATTTATAAAGCGACTTGTAAAACTAACACTGTGATTTATAAAGCGACTTGTAAAACTAACACTGTGATTTATAAAGTGACTTGTAAAACTAACACTGTGATTTATAAAGTGACTTGTGTTGCCGTAGAAAGCCGCGTCAATAGTGAACATCCCCTCGTCCACCTCCGTTCCTTCAGTTGTCTGGTAATCCAAATCGAACAGGTATGTTAGACCTTGCGCATCGTATTCTCTAGAAAATGGCTTTTTAAAGAAGACTAAAAGTATCACCAATACCTTAGTTGTTAACTTATGTCACTTAGTTTTTATAATATATACAATATACATTATATAATAGAAAGTAAAAGTGTTTAATTACTTTATATTGTTGATTTATTAAAACTTACTTCCCACGCTGTTCAGCCTCGTCAAATGTTATAACTTCCCCCACGTACTCTACTACAAAAGTCCCTTTCGGAATATTCTGCAGAGTCTGAAACATAGTGTATTATATAATATATAAATATAATAGGCAATAACAGTGTTAAATTACTTATCTTGTTGATTTATTAAAACTAACGATTTCTAATGATGCGACGTTTTATCATGTTTTATGAATTTTCATATATGTTACTGTACTTACACAAAGTGAAACAACGGTTTTACAAACTATAAGTCGATAAATCGTTATTTGACTTAGTATATTCAGCTCACTCGGTACTTTGTCACTGGATAAATTCAACAACAACAAAAGTATATTACTGTCGTTACATTTATTGTAAAATCCGGATCATTATTTATGAGTCGCATAGTTGAAATGTTGTCGCATTGAAACGTTGAATAATTCCTTTCCCTGATAAGAGCCTTTTCCTTGTCACATCAAACGGGATCAATACAAATTTTACCCAAGAAGCGTTATATTTATTGTTATATTGATTTGCATATTTTACGTTTATGGTGCCATATTGCACAGTTTCTTTTCCATTAAAATAACAAATATAGAAGATATCCCTTCAGTTACCTTGAGCCCCCAGCCCTTGTCGGGTGTCTTGTAGATGGCTGTTTTCACTTGAGTACCTCTCTGTACGATTCTGTTTCCGCAGTCGGGTCCGCAGGAGCAGCGAGCGTTACACTCGTATATGGGGAACCCTTGCTTCAGGAGTAACTTCCCTTTCTAGGGACAATACAATTAGTTTCCAAAAAACGGATACAAAAAAGTTGTCAGAAAGCGACAACCTTTCAAAAATGACTCAGTTTTAGAAAAGGAAGTTGTTCAAGAAGAAACAGTGTGACAGTTTTAGTCACATTTGTATTGTATTCAACGAAAATAATCTAACTTATACTTTCTATTTTAGATCAAGAATTAAACGAATATTTATATATTTCGTGTTTTGCATATTTTCGCGCGAAAAAGATCTTTATTCAAAAAAAGGTCTCCGCGCGTTCCACACCAGTAGAAAATTAAGCGAAAATTATAGCAGTAGATGTTTTGTTTTCAGAATTGTAAGCGAATGTCGCCCCAGTTCAGATACAAATTGGCGCAAAAGTTAGGTCAGTGCGCAAATGTTACAATTTCGCAAGGACACCTCTCACCTGCAGTCTGATGACATTTTGGTGCTGATGAAAATGTTTCGGCAACCAAATATTGAACAGATAAACTTTCATAGTCCAGGCAAGCAATTTACCGACATGGATCAAATATGAGTAATTAGATTTCTGCAATACATTGTTACAGTTCGGATGGAAAATAGTACTTGAAACCGAATACGAACCCGGACCCTCTGATGTGAGGCGATAATGTTGCCAATGGGGCGACATTTGCTTACAATTCTGAGAAGTAAACCGGTCGACATTCTTACAATTTCGCTTACAATTTTGCTAGAACACCTCCTCAAAAATAGTGTTTTATGCAATTAAAAAGAATTATTCCTTCCATAACCTACAAAACGATTTCCTTCAAACTTTCCAGATAGTAAGATAAGTATGAGACTGACAATATATGCAAGTTTGGGTAAATTTCTAACGGGCCAAATTTGAGATATCATTTCCCATCATTTCAAACACAAGAACATATCCCAAATAGGTGGTTCGCTATAGAACGCAGGCGAGAGATCTTACGATGTGATTTTCTTTAAACTTTCCAGATAGTAAGATGGTTATAATAATGATAATCTGATTCTCAAATTCTACACATGAAAAATCATTCACACTAACATCACGTGATTGATAAACTTACATTGTTGTAGGGAAACTGATAAACTTACATTGTTGTAGGGAAACTGATAAACTTACATTGTTGTAGGGAAACTGATAAACTTACATTGTTGTAGGGAAACTGATAAACTTACATTGTTGTAGGGAAACTGATAAACTTACATTGTTGTAGGGAAACTGATAAACTTACATTGTTGTAGGGAAACTGATAAACTTACATTGTTGTAGGGAAACTGATAAACTTACATTGTTGTAGGGAAACTGATAAACTTACATTGTTGTAGGGAAACTGATAAACTTACATTGTTGTAGGGAAACTGATAAACTTACATTGTTGTAGGGAAACTGATAAACTTACATTGTTGTAGGGAAACTGATAAACTTACATTGTTGTAGGGAAACTGATAAACTTACATTGTTGTAGGGAAACTGATAAACTTACATTGTTGTAGGGAAACTGATAAACTTACATTGTTGTAGGGAAACTGATAAACTTACATTGTTGTAGGGAAACTGATAAACTTACATTGTTGTAGGGAAACTGATAAACTTACATTGTTGTAGGGAAACTGATAAACTTACATTGTTGTAGGGAAACTGATAAACTTACATTGTTGTAGGGAAACTGATAAACTTACATTGTTGTAGGGAAACTGATAAACTTACATTGTTGTAGGGAAACTGATAAACTTACATTGTTGTAGGGAAACTGATAAACTTACATTGTTGTAGGGAAACTGATAAACTTACATTGTTGTAGGGAAACTGATAAACTTACATTGTTGTAGGGAAACTGATAAACTTACATTGTTGTAGGGAAACTGATAAACTTACATTGTTGTAGGGAAACTGATAAACTTACATTGTTGTAGGGAAACTGATAAACTTACATTGTTGTAGGGAAACTGATAAACTTACATTGTTGTAGGGAAACTGATAAACTTACATTGTTGTAGGGAAACTGATAAACTTACATTGTTGTAGGGAAACTGATAAACTTACATTGTTGTAGGGAAACTGATAAACTTACATTGTTGTAAGGAACTGATAAACTTACTTGTGTAGGAAACTGATAAACTTACATTGTTGTAGGGAAACTGATAAACTTACATTGTTGTAGGGAACTGATAAACTTACATTGTTGTAGGAAACTGTATAACTTACATTGTTGTAGGGAAACTGGTAACCTTACATTGTTGTCAGGAAACTGATAAACTACATTGTGTAGGGAAAAACTGATAAACTTACATTGTTGTAAGGGAAACTGATAAACTTACATTGTTGTAGGAAACTGATAAACTTACATTGTTGTAGGGAAACTGTAAACTTACATTGTTGTAGGGCAAAACTGATAAACTTACATTGATTGTAGGGAAACTGGATAAACCTTACATTGTAAGGGCAGGGACTGTTAACTACATTGTTGTAGGGAAACTGGTAAACTACATTGTAAGGGAGGGAAACTGACTAAACTTTACATTGCAGAGGGAAACTGATAAACTACATTGTTGTAGGGAAACTGTAAACTTACATTGTTGTAGGGAAACTGATAACTTACATTGTTGTAGGGAAAATGATAAACTTACATTGTTGTAGGGAAACTGATAAACTTACATTGTTGTAAACTGATAAACTTTCTTGTTTAGGGAAACTTTACAACTTATTTTGTTGTAATGATGATATTTACTTTTGTAATGGAAACTCATTAAAATACAATTGGTTTGTACGAACAGCTTTCGGTGTTGTAGGGGTTCACTGAGTACACTCTTACATTTGTTTCGCAGGGGGAACGATTAACGTATATGGGGAACCTGCTTAAACTTCCTTTTAGGGACATACACATTAGTTTAAAAAAAACGTACAAGTTGTAGAAACGAAACTTAAATTGTTTTAGAAAAGAATTGTAAGAAGAAACAGTGTAGAATTATACTTTATTGTTTAGGAAAATATTAACTTACTTTATTTAGATCAGAATTAAACATTTAATTTGGTTTGTAGGGAAAGATCTTACAAAAGGTTGGCTTCAACCTAAAATTAAGGAAAATTATAACTTACATTTTGTTTTAGGTGGAATCGATAAAAAATTGCCACATTAGTGTGGCAAATGTTAAATTTCGAGGGAACTTCATGCATCTTACTTTTTGTAGAAGTGAACAATGAAGATAACTTATATCCAACAATTTGCATGGTAAATTGATAAACTTACATTGTTCGTGGAGGAAATGATAAACTTACAGGTTGTGTAGGGAAATGTAAATTACATTGTTAAATTGGGAAACGGTGAATTAAATTCCTTACATTTTGCTAGAAACCTAAAATATGTTTTAGAATTAAAAATTATTCTTAAAACTAAAAAATTTCCTTAAATTTGTAGTAAATGATAAACTTACAAGTTTGGGAACAACGGGCAAACTTAGATTCATTTAGCATAAAACAGAACTTACAATGGTTGTATAGGAATGTTTAAATTTTCTTTATTTAGGAAGTGGTATAAATTAATTGTTTAAATCACATGAAAATCATTAATACACGGATGATAAACTTACATTGTTGTAGGGAAACTGATAAACTTACATTGTTGTAGGGAAACTGATAAACTTACATTGTTGTAGGGAAACTGATAAACTTACATTGTTGTAGGGAAACTGATAAACTTACATTGTTGTAGGGAAACTGATAAACTTACATTGTTGTAGGGAAACTGATAAACTTACATTGTTGTAGGGAAACTGATAAACTTACATTGTTGTAGGGAAACTGATAAACTTACATTGTTGTAGGGAAACTGATAAACTTACATTGTTGTAGGGAAACTGATAAACTTACATTGTTGTAGGGAAACTGATAAACTTACATTGTTGTAGGGAAACTGATAAACTTACATTGTTGTAGGGAAACTGATAAACTTACATTGTTGTAGGGAAACTGATAAACTTACATTGTTGTAGGGAAACTGATAAACTTACATTGTTGTAGGGAAACTGATAAACTTACATTGTTGTAGGGAAACTGATAAACTTACATTGTTGTAGGGAAACTGATAAACTTACATTGTTGTAGGGAAACTGATAAACTTACATTGTTGTAGGGAAACTGATAAACTTACATTGTTGTAGGGAAACTGATAAACTTACATTGTTGTAGGGAAACTGATAAACTTACATTGTTGTAGGGAAACTGATAAACTTACATTGTTGTAGGGAAACTGATAAACTTACATTGTTGTAGGGAAACTGATAAACTTACATTGTTGTAGGGAAACTGATAAACTTACATTGTTGTAGGGAAACTGATAAACTTACATTGTTGTAGGGAAACTGATAAACTTACATTGTTGTAGGGAAACTGATAAACTTACATTGTTGTAGGGAAACTGATAAACTTACATTGTTGTAGGGAAACTGATAAACTTACATTGTTGTAGGGAAACTGATAAACTTACATTGTTGTAGGGAAACTGATAAACTTACATTGTTGTAGGGAAACTGATAAACTTACATTGTTGTAGGGAAACTGATAAACTTACATTGTTGTAGGGAAACTGATAAACTTACATTGTTGTAGGGAAACTGATAAACTTACATTGTTGTAGGGAAACTGATAAACTTACATTGTTGTAGGGAAACTGATAAACTTACATTGTTGTAGGGAAACTGATAAACTTACATTGTTGTAGGGAAACTGATAAACTTACATTGTTGTAGGGAAACTGATAAACTTACATTGTTGTAGGGAAACTGATAAACTTACATTGTTGTAGGGAAACTGATAAACTTACATTGTTGTAGGGAAACTGATAAACTTACATTGTTGTAGGGAAACTGATAAACTTACATTGTTGTAGGGAAACTGATAAACTTACATTGTTGTAGGGAAACTGATAAACTTACATTGTTGTAGGGAAACTGATAAACTTACATTGTTGTAGGGAAACTGATAAACTTACATTGTTGTAGGGAAACTGATAAACTTACATTGTTGTAGGGAAACTGATAAACTTACATTGTTGTAGGGAAACTGATAAACTTACATTGTTGTAGGGAAACTGATAAACTTACATTGTTGTAGGGAAACTGATAAACTTACATTGTTGTAGGGAAACTGATAAACTTACATTGTTGTAGGAAACTGATAAACTTACATTGTTGTAGGGAAACTGATAAACTTACATTGTTGTAGGGAAACTGATAAACTTACATTGTTGTAGGGAAACTGATAAACTTACATTGTTGTAGGGAAACTGATAAACTTACATTATTGTAGGGAAACTGATAAATTTACATTGTTGTAGGGAAACTGGTAAACCTACATTGTAGCAGGGAAACTGATAAACTTACATTGTTGTAGGGAAACTGATAAACTTACATTGTTGTAGGGAAACTGGTAAACTTACATTGTTGTAGGGAAACTGATAAACTTACATTGTTGTAGGGAAACTGATAAACTTACATTGTTGTAGGGAAACTGGTAAACTTACATTGTTGTAGGGAAACTGATAAATTTACATTGTTGTAGGGAAACTGGTAAACTTACATTGTTGTAGGGAAACTGGTAAACCTACATTGTAGCAGGGAAACTGATAAACTTACATTGTTGTAGGGAAACTGATAAACTTACATTGTTGTAGGGAAACTGATAAATTTACATTGTTGTAGGGAAACTGGTAAACTTACATTGTTGTAGGGAAACTGATAAACTTACATTGTTGTAGGGAAACTGGTAAACTTACATTGTTGTAGGGAAACTGATAAACTTACATTGTTGTAGGGAAACTGATAAACTTACATTATTGTAGGGAAACTGATAAACTTACATTATTGTAGGGAAACTGATAAACTTACATTGTTGTAGGGAAACTGATAAACTTACATTGTTGTAGGGAAACTGATAAACTTACATTATTGTAGGGAAACTGATAAACTTACATTATTGTAGGGAAACTGATAAACTTACATTGTTGTAGGGAAACTGATAAACTTACATTGTTGTAGGGAAACTGATAAACTTACATTGTTGTAGGGAAACTGATAAACTTACATTGTTGTAGGGAAACTGATAAACTTACATTATTGTAGGGAAACTGATAAACTTACATTGTTGTAGGGCACTTTCAAAAACATCTGTCATGGAAAAAATGTTAAAATTTGTCAAAAATCAGTTTTTGTGGCATAATTTGGTGGATAATGTTTGGAATGGGATGAAACTCCAGGATATGGTGTGCTATACCCTAACCTTTACTATCTGCCACTTTTTGTTTCGATTTAGGGCTAAATCTGGTGGATAAAAGTGAAACAGACCAATCCACTTCAGGTGGCCTTTAAAAATATTTAATTCCATCTAAACTCCTAAAATATGATTGAGACTTAACAATAATCGTTATAACTTCATAATTTCATAAGTAGGGCCGGGATTTTTCTTAAGGGCCAAATTTGGTGGATATATTTGTTTACCTCTTTTTTAAGACTGTTATTTGTTAGCTAACATCAATTTACTGGTCTTAGAATGATGCAAAGGCAATGTTAAATCTATGGCATCAACTATGAAGTACAAGATTCAAGTTAAAAGGCTATTTTTGGTGGATATAAGTCAATATTAATTAGTTAAACACGTAAATGTTACCAAAATATCAATAAATAAGACATCATCATGATTAGAAACAGTTGAAAAAGATGAAATATAAGATGTTGAACAATTATGCATAAGGTACTATGGCATTTTAAGCATTCAGGGCCAATTTGGTGGATAATTAACTCAAAAATACTTAAAATATCGACCTGGATATTTTGATATCCATCAATTTTGGCCTTAAAAGTCGGCTTGAGCTTATCACATTTTGTGCTGAACAAGAAAAAGGTCTAAACAAACCAATATCAGTGTATGATTTCATAATTGAGCAAATCTAAGGCCAGAAATAGTGGATAAAAAAGCAAATTTAACCGTTTTTAAGCTAATTTCTTAGGCATTTATCCACCAAAAACGGCCCTAAATGGAGAATGTTTGGAACGTTTACTTGAAACTATAGCCCTTCTTTACGACCTCAGAGCAATGATTTTCAGCTCTTTCGACCTTAAGATATAATTATTGGGCTTTGAAAGTGGATCACATACGTTATCAGTAAAGAAATCGTTATTTCAATCGCTGAGGTAGGTTATTCACATTTAATATCCACCAATTTTAACCTTAAAAGTCGTCTTGGACTGAGAATTCTTTTGAACTGACTCAGCAAAGGGGATCTTCTATCTAGAAACAGTTGTAGTTTCATGATAGAACACATCTTGGGCCAAAAATAGTGGATAAAAATCAAATTTTCCAGTTTGTGTGCTTTTATCCATCAAAAACGGCTCTAAAGGCTGAAAGGAGACAGTTTGTTAAGTTCGTATGAAACTATATCCATTCGTTATGGCCCTAGAGCAATAATTGTATACATTTTCAGCTTCTAGACGAGATAATTGGGGTCTAACAATGGATAACCTGCATTATTGACACAGAATTTGACTTAAAAATAAAATCAATCTTGAAGCTCCAATATATCCACCAAAAATGGCCTAAAAATTAAATCATCTATGCTATCATAAACTTGAAACGATTTCCAACCTGATCCGTTCACTGAGAAAAGCTGGTGAACTTGTTGACCAATATAATTTTTTCAGTTGAAAATTTTCGGTATTGAATTTTATTTCATCGTTTTATTATCCACCATATGTAGCCTTAAAATTGAAATCTTTCTTTATTTTCGCCTTTTATCATAGAGGCATATCGATTTGCTACAATTCTATCTTTAAATAATCACCATAAATTAACCACACGTAAAGTTACAGGCCAACAAATGATATATCCACCAAACCCCTCTGAAAAGTATATCCACCATTATTAGCCTTGATTTAAATGCGTGTATCTCTGCTCATAGACATAGTGGACATTTTATTCTTTTTGTAAAAGTTGAACTATCGCAAATCCTATGCTGAAAAAAATTTTAATCAAAATATTGAGTATATCCACCAAATGAGAGCTTCTAGAAGTTGAAATTTTTCCCGTGACAGATTCGTTAACATAGTTTTTGAAAGTGCCCTGTAGGGAAACTGATAAACTTACATTGTTGTAAGGAAACTGATAAACTTACATTGTTGTAGGGAAACTGATAAACTTACATTATTGTAGGGAAACTGATAAACTTACATTGTTGTAGGGAAACTGATAAACTTACATTGTTGTAGGGAAACTGATAAACTTACATTGTTGTAGGGAAACTGATAAACTTACATTGTTGTAGGGAAACTGATAAACTTACATTGTTGTAGGGAAACTGATAAACTTACATTATTGTAGGGAAACTGATAAACTTACATTATTGTAGGGAAACTGATAAACTTACATTGTTGTAAGGAAACTGATAAACTTACATTGTTGTAGGGAAACTGATAAACTTACATTGTTGTAAGGAAACTGATAAACTTACATTGTTGTAGGGAAACTGATAAACTTACATTATTGTAGGGAAACTGATAAACTTACATTGTTGTAGGGAAACTGATAAACTTACATTGTTGTAGGGAAACTGATAAACTTACATTGTTGTAGGGAAACTGATAAACTTACATTGTTGTAGGGAAACTGATAAACTTACATTGTTGTAAGGAAACTGATAAACTTACATTGTTGTAGGGAAACTGATAAACTTACATTGTTGTAAGGAAACTGATAAACTTACATTGTTGTAGGGAAACTGATAAACTTACATTATTGTAGGGAAACTGATAAACTTACATTGTTGTAGGGAAACTGATAAACTTACATTGTTGTAGGGAAACTGGTAAACTTACATTGTAACAGGGAAACTGATAAACTTACATTGTTGTAGGGAAACTGATAAACTTACATTGTAACAGGGAAACTGATAAACTTACATTGCAGCAGGGAAACTGATAAACTTACATTGTTGTAGGGAAACTGATAAACTTACATTGTTGTAGGGAAACTGATAAACTTACATTGTTGTAGGGAAACTGATAAACTTACATTGTTGTAGGGAAACTGATAAACTTACATTGTTGTAGGGAAACTGATAAACTTACATTGTTGTAGGGAAACTGATAAACTTACATTGTTGTAGGGAAACTGATAAACTTACATTGTAACAGGGAAACTGATAAACTTACATTGTTGTAGGGAAGAGCTGCCCCGCCTAAATGTGGGCAGCACTCCACGTGAGGAGACAAGCAGCAGTCCTTAACACCGTACTCTCCTGAACAGACACAACCTGAAACGGGAGTAGAATAAGGGGCCAACTAGTTAGTAACACTGTTAGTTACCATAGTTACAACTAGTGACCATAAACATTAGTTACTTTTAGTTTGATTGTGGTATCAGTAAGTGACATGAATAGCAACATTAACTAAATTTTAGCTACGGTTGCTAAGACTGACCTATGAGTGTATCGTCACTTATATGAACTCCTTTTCCAGCAAACCTATCTCGCACAAATGTGAAGTTCAGGGGCGGCAAGTTGAAGTCCACCGTATTCAGTATCTGCGTAAATAGGACCATTACTTTGATTAACCATATTCAGTATCTGAATCCAGCTAGTGTATATTACAGAATCCAGCTAGTGTATATTACATAATCCAGCTGGTGTATATTACAGAATCCAGCTGGTGTATATTACAGAATCCAGCTGGTGTATATTACAGAATCCAGCTGGTGTATATTACAGAATCCAGCTGGTGTATATTACAGAATCCAGCTAGTGTATATTACAGAATCCAGCTGGTGTATATTACAGAATCCAGCTGGTGTATATTAGAGAATCAAGCTAGTGTATATTAGAGAATACAGCTAGTGTATACTGTATATTACAGAATCCAGCTGGTGTATATTACAGAATCCAGCTGGTGTATATTACAGAATCCAACTGGTGTAATAATAATATATATATTATTCTTATTATTACCTCGACAGTGGGAAAAGAGGGGCCCAGTTCCTCTTGAACTTTATTTGCGTACTGTTTTAACAATCTCCTGTATTGCACTTTAAGTGCCTGTGAAGACAATTCCGCATTTAGCTGCCACAGATGTACCTGAAGAAGAGGTACTACAAATAGTGCTCCACAAACCTTTTAACATGTTCTTTAAGAAACATTATCGAGAATAAATTTTAATGGTAATAATTTACGAATGAAGATACCTGTGATTTTATAGCGGAAATCTTCTGTGTTCGTTTCTTTAGTCGCGTTTTTATAGCTTTCAAATCCTCGCAAATAGCGCTGGGAAAGGTTGACAATCAAAAATTTTATATTATTTAATATGTCAACTTATCTACCTTCAAAACTGAACGATTTTATCTGAAAATGTGTGGGAAGGAACCCATTTTGCCAGAAATGAATAAAAAACTTTTCTTAATGTGAAATAAAACTTGCATGATCATGATCTTATCACCCGTGAGAAAGAATTTTTGTGAAGTGTAAGTGAATTACAATTTAGAAGTGAAATAAAAACTAGTAACCTGTTTTTGTCTACTGTTAGCAGGAGGTTGGTAATGTAATGGAGGAGCAAATGAGGAGAGCAGTTGAAATGCTCCTCAGGTTCCCAAGACGTGTACTTCTCACTGAAGTCAGACCATTTTACCAGGAACTTGTACTGCTTCTCTGACTGTACAAGACAAGTTTTATGTTAGAATTACGTGTGAATATGTTTCTAAAAATGAACAAGTTACAGCACAAAAAACACCACAATTACAATGATTACCACGTGTTAAATGAACAGAAAACTTCCTAAGATAATATTAATATGTCTACCTGAGAGCCCATTTTGTGAGTTAGAATCTTCTCGATCTCAAAGTAAACTGTCTGGTTCTGTTTGTTGCAAGCTCTTTTCATTACGACGTAGTTTTTCTGTCTGCTGTTGCTTATACTGTGTCTCAGGTTGTAGAACTCTGTAGAAAGTTAAATCAATTTTGGGATTGGTGGAGAGATGTCATTGAATTGCATCCCATATTATTACATATGTATGTGTTCAGGTTTTATTTTACCCTTTTGTTAATGAATTGTATTGAACGAAAAGTTGCAAATAGTATGTTTAATCGAGATTCAGCATGTCATCTACCTTTATTTTTTAGAGGGTTTGCAAATGCTGAAGGAAGTTGCAGACAGGGTATCGTCAATTTCCTTGCTACCAACTTTAGTGAATGTGATTTGGCCCTAAAGTAAAATGTATATCATAGGCTGAAAACTTATACTTTAAGGGGGCCGGGGAAGGTCTTTATGTTTAACTTGCATATTGATACAACTCATACTTGACAAAGAGTAAATAAGTAAAAAAAAAACAGTGTCAACAAATACTTACACTGTGGGAGAGCTTGGAGATTCAGAAGCTGAGGAGCCCTTTCTTAGCCTCTTTTTAGGATGAGTGGATTCAATATCAGAATCCTCTATAGGGTTGGCCCAGGAATTATTGACAGTTATTGAAAGTGCCTCATCAAAGGATGTGTCCATGGCATCTTTTTTTGATCTCGATAATAAACAGGTAACCTTTTGAGGGGTCCTTGAGGGAGATTTAATGTTGAAAGAAAACCTTCTAGTTCGGTTCGGTGTTGGGGATTTATCTTCAAGGATTTCGACTGCAGTCACTTTTGAATGATTCTGTTCAATACAAGATGATGTAGGCTTCCCAGAATTTTCTTCAGTTTCAGGGATTTTAGAATCAGTTACTTTGATAGCTGATGTTTGAGCAATTTCGTCTGCCTGTTCTTTTTCTTCATTGTGATCCAGATCCCCATTTAGTGTCTCAAAAAGCAAACCAGTGATATTCTCTACTTCATTGTCAACTATTTTCAAAAGACTGTCTTTGCTATTCTTTTTGATCTTACCAGTGTTTTTAGATAACGAAAAATCTGAATCATCCTCATTCTTCTTAGGTGAGAAAAACTTTGTAATTGACTGCATATCTTCTAATCATTTTGATTCCATAATTAGGTATCTAAAATCAGACATATTTAGAAAAACACAATTTTTTAGGAAAAAACAGTTTTAATATTCATCACCAATTTAACGAAAAGAGTTGAAACATCTTCAACAGCACTACATCTTAAGATGTTAGCATTTAAATTAGCAAAATGAAAAGAAAATTTGTGTTGATATCCCACAAGATTTTATTTGTTTTCAAAAGTTATAAATATGCGCAAACCAATAAGGGCCGCATCACATAATGTTTCTCGCAACCACAGATATGAGCTAGTTGCCAACGAAAACTTTAATTAAATTATTTCGTGGGATATCAAATACTGAAGAATTGACGGAATATACTGGTACTAAATTCAATGACTAATTGTTCAAGTGTCAATCCAACTGTACGTTACAAGCAGCGAACAAATTATGTGTTGTATGCCCCAAATCTCACTTTTGAAGGTGTCACAAGGGTGAGACATGGTGAATTTGAGATCCATGTACGTTTGTAAGAGCGATGACCTTACTATGAATAAACCGCATCACAAAAATTGTCTTGATATTCATTGTAAAACATATAAGTGATACGAATAATTTGTTTTAGCAGGGGCTTTCAAAATACATGTGTAAATCGTCTTGAGCTTTATTGTATACCTCTTGTATACCAGCTTCATTGTACATACCTCTTTCTGAGCACTCCGCCATCAAGGTGACGAAAAGCAAAAGTAACTTTGTTCACAAATGTAACTCTGCGCTACGTAAAACACTCAATTTTACCAGGACATGGCCATGAACTTTCCAGACATGTCTAGACACTACAACATGCACCCAGGTATAACGAGTTGTGTGCATTAGACTAATAAATTACTGTAATAAAAACTAGTGTGACTGTACTGACTAAACGAACATAGTGAAGTTCTCATTATTCCATTTTATTACACATCCACTTTCCTGAGCTTTGAGGATGGACCATTTTAAATGAGACTTTACACATGCGATAAAATTATCCTTCCACTGATTAATTTGCAGCAAAGGTTACTCTGTTCAACAAACTTATTCCACAGAGAGTGACCATCAAAGAGAAGTCAAAATATAGCAACTTAAATAAAAATGACCAATGAAGGGTGAGGGTGATGAAATCTTGGACCTCAAAAAAATTGACAAAAAACGAGGTCAAAACCGAATAAAGACTTTTTAAGGCCTATTTCGAAATTCTGTCTATGTTCTAGGAATAATTCATCTGTTCTAAATGATCCCTAGAACATAACCTGAAGCTGTTTTAGGGTGATTGGTCAAAAAATGTAAAAGAAGATAGATTGTTGGACTCGATTTTCAGGACTCGCGATTTAAAATCGCTCGCTTAATACAATTACACATAAGCACTAACCTTTGACCGGCAATAATTTCGGCTAGGAACAATGTTTTCCCGTGGGACCAAAAGTATTTGATAGATATCACTCCCCTCTATCAGAAACAACTATAAAGTCAATTTCGAACGAATTTTGATAAAATTCTTTAGAATGTCTACATTTAAAATTGTCTCAGAGCTCCTATTTAATGAGTCTGGGTTCTTAAGTAGTGGAGTATTCAGATTGTTTGTATATTTGGAGTCTATAGAATTTCTATAGAATTTTTATAGAATTTTTAATATTTTAGGGAATTTCATTTTTATTATCCTGATTTTTACATTTGATAGGCTGATGAGTTTCATAATGTGATTTCTTGCAGTCATCATCCTTTCCTCAAGTCCTATGTTAGAAAACCTGCTAAGCCTGCTTGTTAGGTGCATCTGCCTTATTTAGTCACGATTTTATTAACAGTTTTTAACGTCTGTTTTCTGAACAGTTTCTTGTTTCACCTAAGGCAAAGATGCACACTCTCGTTAACTTAAGTATCATTTACAGCTGAGCATAAGGGTTAAATTTAAATTATTTAACCTTTTGGTGCTGTATAAAAATAACATTAATTTATTATTATTATAAAGGGTCTCAATAAGAGGTCTCGACTGCCTAGGCGTCAGACCTTGGCAGTCGGTAGTTTTCCTCTGGCCCGGGATCAGCTGACCCTAGGGACCAGAGGATAAAGGTGTAGAAACTATATGTATCTACAAAACTTTCAAGGTTGTTTTTACAAGAGACAGGGCTTGCTGCGCAAGGGAAGAAAAGCGGGAGAAACACTCACAAATTATACAAATAAATATTATAAAACATAGCAAAAAGAAATTCAAACAATCCTACACTACTACAAATGTTTATTACATACTACAATGTGATACATGATAATTATATGCTGTATAGACAAGAAACAGGGCTTGCAGGGCAAGAGATGGATCAAAGGGACTAGTCACAGAGTGTAATATACAGTGATTCAGCAAGAACCCATTGCTGAATCTGGCACACAAAATACCACAATCAATACAAAAATATACAATATTATATCAAACAATATGTTTATACAAGAATCAGGGCTTGCAGAGCAAGAGAAGAAAAATAAGAGAAAACTACCATCAACTGTATATACCGTAGTCCATCAGATAGGTAATCATTACTAATACACAAATCAGCAGGGCTAACAACAATATAAAATCCATAATAAATACTCAATCTACCCAATATACGAGTTAAAAATTGTATAAACAAGAGACAGGGCTTGCATAGCAAGGGAAGAAAAATAAGAGGACCAGGTAAAAAGTGTTTATTAGAGTACCCAGTGAAAATTAAACTTTAAAAAAAGAGTATTTACAGTGTATTATACACTCAAATATATTATATGTCTAAGACCATCCTGAGAATCCTGGCTGATCCAAGCAGAGCTGTCTTCTGGAGATTAGAGATGCTCAGATTGCAGTGGACTGCGTCGAGGTGTTTACGAAAGTTTATGGTGATAGTTCCTAATGCGCCTATCACCACAGGGACGATTGTGACCTTTCGTAAATTCCAGTTCTTCTTAATTTCTCTTTTCAGGTCTTGATATTTCAGAATCTTTTCTTGTTCTCTATTATTATTATTATTATTAAGTATGTGCAGCTTATCATCTAAGCAGAGGCCCCGCCACTGCCGTATAACTATTTGATCTGGTGATGACTATATTAGTGAAACAAATTTTTAGTGAAACAAATTTAAAATTTTATACTTTATTTTACAATCATAATATAATAATATTTATAAGCCTCCGTTTTGAAAGGTTTAAATTTTAAGATATTCACATTTCTATTTAAAAATTCAATTTAAAATATAAGTTAATAACTGGCCGCTAAAGCCGCGCATTCATGAAAACAGGATTAACTTGTTTATAATTATACAACAAATAAAAATGAATTTAAAACTATCCGTGGTTTTTAAAATAAATTATATCTTACCTAAATCCAAAGCCAGCTTTGTAATAAAATTTACTATTAGTATTAGATCATGATATATCGTCAATACTTTTTTTTTTTTTTTAATTTTTTTTTTTTATAAAATTATTCAAACAATATACACATAATATAGCAATGACCCTATATAAAAACAAACCTTTAAGAATATAAAAAATTCCCTAAACACTCAAAAATTACCCTTGGCCTTGTGGCTCCAAATTAAGATCTAGACTATCGTCAATACTCGATGTTTTTCTCCTTAAAGTCCCAAATTTATTTTGAAGGTTTTGTACCCAAGGATACAAGGATACAAGGATACAAGGATACAAGGATACAAAAGTGATAATTACTTTATTGAGTACACAATAGTTGTAATTCTGAAATAATTTAAGTTACACAATTCTAATTATTTACAAGTGTGTAGGGATAATTTAGAAATGTTATATAATGCTAGTTTTAGAAAAATAGATAAATCGAGTTAGTATGGTTCAATCTTATTTTAGGGTCCTATAGCATTATGCACATGCCAGTATTTGAGTGGAAATCTGGGCTCTTATAGTAGGCTGTATAATTTTCGTTCACAGAGAGAATTGAATGGATTGCTCTTGCTGTGGCAGTGAGTGTGGTAGGATCTAGAGTTTTGTTGGAGAGCAAACCGACTAGGTCAGTAATGTTTAGGGGATGGAAATTGAATTTTTCCCTAACTGAGGAGTAGAGCAAACCCAATCAGTACATATATTTAGGGATTTTAAAACTCTGGCAATAATTTTCACATAGCCATGTGTCGACGCATACTGCGCGCGTGACGCGGCGGTCGCGCGCTACTGCAAGCGAGAGGGCTCTGCATTCTGGTTAGAGCAAGCACAAAGCAATGATTATACCATCGTGTTTTGAAATTTGTCTCTGTTAACCATTAATGATTAAGGCATTATAACCGTACCTCATATATGAGAGCACCAAATTGCTTCATTTTCATTACTGTGTCTACTCCGATATCGACTAAGTTTTTTTGAAAAGTTTTAAAATTCCAATCAGAAAGTGTTTACAAATTTTTTGCTCAATTACGGAAGCTACAAAAGCCGTCCATTTGCATTAAATACGGCACCTAGGCAAAACTTGCTGATCATTCCAAAAAGTTATGCATATGAACAATTTGGTATAATTGTGAAATTGTTGTTGCATGTTGACCTGGTGCGCACGAGTGCGCGGCTGTATTGTCACTGCTGCGCGCAGTGTTGTGACCCCTCTTCGTCGTATTTTACACATATTTGGACATTGGCAATTTATTCAATTGATAATTTTAAAGTTTTAACATTTTTTATATTAAATTCTTTTTTAATATAGTTCTAAAACGATTAGGCTTGCTTTCTGTAAAAATTTAATGTACTTTCGTAAAATAATTTTGATGTGGCAGCGATTTGAAAAAGAAATTAGTTAAAAATGATACAAAAAAATTGGACATTTTTTGATATTAAAACATGTATAACTTGGGCTGTGTTGACAGTAGAAAAATAATTTAACCCTTGTCCGAAAGGTTTACAAAAGTTTTACGCGCCGCGCATAATTGCCGCGCAATTTCGCGTGTCAAATCCGTCTAAGAGTGAACATAATTGATGAAGGAGCACTTTGAGCTTTACACCTCGTGCGTTCACTGTTCGCGCCTTAATTGCGCCCAGTTCACTGTTGCCTCGCGTTATTCCATCATCCATATTTCTGCTCTTAGTTCTTTACTCTTTAGTTGCTTTATAATGTGTCAGCAGTAATCAGCCCTGCTGTATTATATTTATATATTGTACTTGATTGTTGATACCTAATTAATTAACTGTTTACGATGGCAGTTATGGCGGATGATGATTAATCACTCTACAATCGCCTGTCACGTGACTTCTTCAACCCGTTCTGTAGATGGCCCTAAACAACTATATTCGAACCCCGGAAACCATAACCCTCTAATCAGATCCCAATCCTAACGGCCTAACCCTAACCAAATCCTTTACAAAAGCATATACTGAAACACTATAGAGAAATTATACGGTCATATCACGTGATCGAGACAGTTTTTCGCCAATATCTCGTTAGGGGAGAATTTTAACCTTATGTCATGGGGGTAATAGGTAAGTGCTTAGTAACCTCTTTGCTTTTATTCGAGCCTTTTATTAAATCGAAGTTACAGTTCACGAGGTTGATCCTTTGGGAGATATTAAATCCTGTTTTACTATTATTTATAAATTCTAACGTTTAACTTTAATATTAATAAGTAAGTTTGGACGCAGACTAGAAACGAGTTTAATCGACTAAGTTTTTGATTTTGTGTACCTTTTAATTTTTATCATACAACTTTTTAATTTCAGCAAATTTTAGTTAAAGAGTAAATCAAAGTTAGCAATCATTGAACTCAATAGTTAAAAAGGTGACTGTAAAAATAGAACTAAGATTTCGATACTTTTAAATGAACTTCTAGTTCTAATGATATAATTTTAAATTATTAGATGTTTAAATTTTCCTTATAGCTGGATCATAGTCATGTAGAAATTAGGTTAAACATTGTCATGCAGAAATTAGGTTCCATAGAAAACACAGTCACGCCTTACATTATTACAAGCTTTAAAGGGCTCGTGAGTCGTGTTAGTGTTACTAAGTTACTAGATCAACATGCTTAGCCAATCAGTCTTGTTATATTAAACTATTACTTTTGAGCTTGAAAGCAGACAAAACTTTGCTTATTTGTTTGTTTATTATTTTGTTTGTTATTAGAGAAAGAAGACAATATTACCTCTCGATTATTTCAGGAGAAGCTAAAAGCGCTGAAAGACCAAGAATCATCTCCCGCAGGAGCTGTTGGATCAGCACGCTGAAGAAGTACAGAGACTGGCGAACAAGCTGATAAACTCAGACAGCAGCAAAAACTTCAAGTTAGCTTCGTGACGTCATTGACATTACCGTCGTTGTGACGTCATTTTCGATGTTGATCAAATGAATTTATTTGTATTCTAGAGATTCTATTTTAGCATTTGACAAGTAACAACTTTGGCTCTGTTTACTGTGCTGTAATGCAGTGAACGACCGGGATTCCCGGCGCCGGGGGAGGTGTTTATTCCCGGCCCCGGCCAATTTTGAGTTTTTGGCCGGGAATTATAGATTAAAAAGTCACATAAGAACATAAAAACTACTGTCTTATTTGACCCACAATTCATACTTACATTTACAACTTATCTTATATTGGTAAGGGATCAATTAGCCGAAGTTAAAATGGAAAGTGCCAGTTTTACTTTAAGGTCTGAAGCACTGAGCGTGAAAAGTGATATTAAAATGGACTCTAAAAGTGCCTGTGTCTTCATACTATGGTGTTCCGCCTCACTTCTATACTACTATAATCGAGCACAGGACCGGACTTGACAAGCCCACTAAAACAAGTTGTGTAAAAAATACCACCAGTTCACGGCCCAACCACATTGTTTATTTGTACACCCAGTGAATTATTCCTTATATGGCGCGGAACATTCCTGGCCTAACGTGTGTGCCGTGTTTCTCCGCACTATCAGTTGACTGGCAGTCAACTACATGAATGGTACTGTACTCGCATTTATGTGTTACTTGTTTTTACGTGTTTGATTTAAATTGCTCGTGATTAGACACACGTTCGGTGAAAGGGGAGGGGGTAGTTTTCACTTTTCAGACTAGGGAAGGGGCAAGGAAACGTGTGATTACTTGATTATTGATTTTTCACGTTTTAAGTTAATCTCGACACGTGTTCAGTAATTATATGTTTTATAAATACCCTACTGTTTACACTTTTTAAATCCCTTTAAAGCCAACAATATAATCCACAAAACAGACTCCTGGCACTAATTTCAGGATCTAACGGCCAAATAATGTGTTTTATAAATACCCTACTATTTAAACTTTTTAAAACCACTTTAAAGCCAGCAATATAATCCACAAAACTGACTCTTGGCACTCATTTCAGTAGTTATGGTAGGCGATGCACCAGTTGACATAATTCTAAGAATGACTGTAACTGCGTACTGATCTCAAACTCGAAGTAACATCCCCAAGATGAACTACTATTTTTTAATCGTGCATGAGAAACTAAAGTATTATGATAGGGGGCTTTTTAAAAAGTTACTGACATGACGCTGGTCCTCACTTTTTGGAGTCTCTACTCCCTCATTTCCAGGTTAGTGCACTATTAGTGGGGAGGAGGTGTATTAACTTTATCAGTCACGTAACCTCATAACACTCCCCATCACGGGTAACTTGTAATGGTAAAGTTGTCATGGTAACAGAAATGTGTTTTCAGGCTGAACAGGAAGCTGTACAACAACCGGTCTGACAAGTTACAAGTGGTGGACCTACATCATCTAGATGTACAGGTTCGTTCATTTACTGATTGATAGCTATTTTAATGAACTTATTTGTTTAGATTTATGACGTGTTTCTCAATTGACAATTTTATACCCTCGAGATAATACAAAATTCTATGAAGGATACATTTTTAATGTTCAATTACATAAATGACAAACTTAAGTTGACTAAATCGCTGCCTGTATTTAGATTATTTAAAAAAATCAATTTGGTGTGACCACAGTACCATAAGTCGCACTGAGCATAAAACCTGTGAGCGAATCACCATACTTAAAGAGTGTGTGCCAGCTCATGTCCGTCTTCATAACCTCTTCCCTCCACGGCCCCATCTTGACTGCATCTCAAGAGAGCCGCATTGAACTTCCCTTTCATGCTCGAGGTTTCTTTTAACTCTCTGAAGGACCTCAGCTTGTTGTTCCCGGGCGTTCATCTTCTTCCACGGTTTCTTCCATTCTCCAAAACCAATCCTTGCCCTGCTGTACGGCTGGACCATTCCTCTCACCTCTTCACAGACTAAGTCCCTCTCAGCACAATCTAGTTCCTTGTCTGGTCTCCAAACTCTCCCTGACCTGACTTGCGGTTGAATCGCCCTTATCATGTCATCATAAAACTGCTGGTAGGACTAATGGAGTCGACATTTCTCCAGCTTCCAAGTATCGGACAGGCTGCCGATGGGCAAGGCCACACTAGATGTTTGACTAAATAAGCAGATGTTACTCAGTGTATGGCATACACCCTGCCACTTCGTCAGAAAACTGTTGGTGTGCTGCCTCTGCTCTAATCCACCGACCCAGGAACTTGATTGGCTTTTCCGCTACGTTTGGAATCACATCTCCCCCTAGACTCAGACGTTCTTCGACGCCTCCACTTCCACTGTTCTCTTCATACCATTTTACTACTACCCCCCTCTTCATAACCAGGGCTCTTGACTTGGAGGATTTCAACTGGATTCTGGAAACGTGACCAGTCCACATATCTCTTAAATATATTGAGCAGGGTTTTCATATCCTTCATCCGGGCACATGTCAAACAACTGGATGGATAACATCATTAATCATACGGCACTAATTGTTGATATAATCTGACCCCCTAATAATTGGGGTTCCCCTTTGTCGTGCTAGCCCTTAAATGGGTCATAACTTGGCCAAATTGTGTAATCAACTTGAAATTTGCTGGCCTTAGGAACGATCCTTCGGCTTCTTGTAAAGCTCTTCCTTGAAAGTGCTGGTTTACATTGTAATGCAGGTAATGCCGAAGTAAAATAACAAAGGTGGTCGACTCATTCGATGGCCTTATTGCGTCGCAACGAATCCTCATAAGATAAGATAAGATAAGAAGAAATGTGTCTGTCAACTTTGGAGTTCCTAGTATAACGTGTTGTCATTTTATGGCGACAATAATTAAAACTAAAAGGAGAGTGACGTGCCACACCCTCTGAAATCAATGAAATTTGGCGAAACTTTCAGAAATACTAAGTTTGACCCACATGTGAAGGTCGCTAAACTAAATGTAATATTTCAGGTATAAATTCTACTAGTACGATTCGATGCTGTGGAAGAGGTTGAAGTTGACGTTTAAGCAGTCACCCTGCCGAACAAGAAATCAGTCAGGCAAAGAGGCTAGGTTGACTAGAAACTCAATCACTGTATCCGTGAAACTTGCTGGAAGCTATGTGAGTTATTTTACCTCCTTATTTCAAATGACCTCCAAACCAATTACATTGAAGAGGTGAAGAAACCATTAATATTTACTGAATTAAATGCGACTATAAAACCGAAATAGTAATACACTACTGACTACAAAGAAACATCTTACATGGGGCCAGGCTCATATAAGTGTTCATATGTTAGTGTTCATAGCCGTTGAAAATATGGCGGAATGACAGGCTGAATGTGGCCCAGTAGAAGAAAAAAACATTATAATTCTTTCCGACCATAATAGAAATACAATTAAACTAGAATGAAACAAAGAGTATTAAATTTTTAAATTAGTCGAGTCAACCAAATTTCACAGAGAAGCTGGACATTTATACGACAATTTAAACGCAATGTGTATGCGCCGTGATCAATGGTCACGGCGCATAACCATTGCGCCGTGACCGTTGATCACGGCGCATAACCCGTAAGATGCTGCGCACATTTTTGATTTTAAAATGGCGGGAACACATTTCAACTGCCATTGTTATACGATACATTGAAGTGCATAGTGAAGTGTGTGGTCTGATAGTAGACAGAGGATTTATTTGGAACATTTCCGGTGCCTTAAACTGTTCTCCACTGTGCACTGCACACGGACTATTTGATCGCTTAAACGAAGCGCACACATATTCATTATTGTTTTCTTTTTACATAATTGATAATATCTCTAATATATTTTCAGGAGTATCGGTCATCAGACACTAAAGAGGACCAATTATTCTATGTTCTACATCTTCAATGATTAATAAAGATCTCGGATTGCTCCTACTAATGCATGATGTGTTAAAATGAAAGAGAAAGAGAAACCACTCATTTATGATTTACTTTTAGTATTATGTCTGAACAATGATGAATGATATTGAAGTTGATCTTAAAAACTGTCTATGAACCCTTGCTAAATGATTTTGGAAGGTGTTAGGGCTAAATATACCTGTAGACATCACTTTCAGTGATTTTTATGAAATTAATGATTTGTATATATTTTGGGACTAAAATAAGCGCAAGACCTTCGACGTTCCTACTCCTATTGTTATTTTAATCAAGCAAATATTCAAAAAAAATTTATACTGTCGTATAAATAAAATACTTAGTAATCGGATAGGGCTTTGAAAAATTGAGTATTACAATTACCAAGCTAAAATATATAATGTTGAACTCAAAAATGTTCATGCGTTGGTGGAGAAATATTCAATTCTGTGCGTAGTTTTTTGTCACATCTATGGCAAATTTTAACCAATTTTGTTCATTCTTTCATAATACTATTTAGTAGACAAATTACTTTCGAACTGTGTCCATATTATTTATTCAAATCTAAAACAAATTCCTTAATTTGGCTTCAAAATTGTTTAAATCTGAATACGAGCTAATTACGACGCATACCGGTCACGGCACTGCGCGCGGCAGTGATTGTGGCTTTCGCTTGATGGATATTACTTTGCAGGTTTACAACCTACCAGGACGCGCGCCGAGTTGTATACATTGTCGTTTCACTACGTATCGTGGCGAAAGTTAACCGAGCGTGCTAAATCACTCTACAGTCGATCTTCGAGATTGTTCTAAAAGGGCCCCCGACAGTTGAAACCAACTTCATTCGATGTATTTTCGGACGCTGATTCCGAATCACCCCCCATGACATAGGGTTAAAATTTGTAGCGCGATGCACTACTGGGTCGCGCGCGCATCCAATAATGCTTCTCGCAACCACAGATCTTAAGCATATCGGCGAGATGCGAAGGATTGACACCGTCAATCAAGGTTAAAATGCTCCTGTGACGAGATATTGGCGAAAAACTGTTTCGATCACGTGATATGACCGTATAAGGAAGTTAGTCTAATATCTAGTTAGGGTTAGGGTATCAGCATATGCTTTTGTTAAGGATTGGGTTAGGTGTTAGGGTTGAGATCAGATTAGAGGGTTAGGGTTTCGAATAATCGTTCAGGACCAGCTAGAGAAGGGGTTGAAAAAGTCACGTGACAGTCGAGTGTAGAGTGATTAATCATCATCCTAAGTTAACGGGTGATATTCGCATTTCGTAAAATATTTGTTTAAAGACCGTCAAAGAGTCCAACTCGGCACGCGTCTTGGTAGGTTATATAAACCTACACGGCGAAAGCCACGATACAGCCGCGTACTCATTGCTCGTGCGCGACATGCAGGTCCAAGGTCTACAACGTGTGACAAGCATATTTTCACGCTACGTCTTGTGGTGATTCGGAATCAGCGTCCAAAATACACCGATTTAAATTACTTCCATACCCTCACTAGTCTATGTTAAATAAGCCTGAGGGTAGGTAGTTTGTAGGTTTACAACCTACCAGGACGCGCGCCGAGTTGGACTCGTCGACGGTCCTGTATATGGAACAGATATTTTACGAGTATCACCCGTTAAGACTTTTACAGCTACTTTTGCTCCAAAAGCCGCGCACCATCAAATATGGCACCTAGGCGAATCTCACTGATCTTTCCAAAAAGGTATGACAAATTTGGTACTGTGAAAATTCTCACAGTCTCTAGAAAACAGTGGTACAAAAATTTTTAAAATCCGAGCAAGTTTATTTTTATCGTGCACCCCCTACTGAGTGAGGGTCATAGACTGTAGCCTGCCACGTGACCATTAATGCGATATAACAGATAATTAATGCTAATTAGATGATTTTCGGAAAAATCATGAGCAAGCGATTATGTAGTACGGAAACAACACCATACGTGTTGCATGTTGCATGTTGAGACCATTAACAAAGTAGACAAGAAATCGAAAATCATACAACAAAATAGTGGGTGGATCAGAATTGTATTACAAAATCTCTCAAATAAATACTATACTCGGCACAGTGTTTCAGTGGCTGAAGGACTAACACAAGCTACCAATGGAGGTTTAATATGCTTCAGGTTGCATCACTACATAAGTACTACATCACTATTGACTATGATAAATAATACGGGGGGGGGGGGGGGGGGGGGGGGGGGGGGGGGGTGACTACGTGATATGTGAACCTTGTATAAGAACCTGTCGAGTGACAAAAACTTGTTTTCTTAATTTATGTGACGTTGCTTGCTATTTAACATTCCGAATCAAATGTTATCCTTATAATAAATTAACAGACTGAATAGAAGATATTATAGATAGTCTTATGACAACAATATTAGAATTACAAAATTCACTTTGTGAATAAACTTAAAATAGTACAAAATTACAATCTCATGACATCAGTTAAGTGGGACCCCCTCCCCCCATCAGTAAGGGGGGGGGGGGGGGGGGGGGGGCAACCCCATCAGTTATTAGACATCCCCGGTCCGACAACAAATCCACCGTAAAATAAAGGAAACCAGTCTTTCTCATCCATACCACTTAATAATGTCACTGATAGTGATTTGACTTGACGATAACATTATACACTCATCTCGTCGACTGAAATGGAGATGAGTTAAATAGAGACAGTTTTAACAACGGATAGTAGTAGTGTAGTAGTGTAGTAGTGTAGTAGTGTAGTAGTGTAGTAGTGTAGTAGTGTAGTAGTGTAGTAGTGTAGTAGTGTAGTAGTGTAGTAGTGTAGTAGTGTAGTAGTGTAGTAGTGTAGTAGTGTAGTAGTGGGGGGTACACTACCTCCAGGGGTGGGCGACAATTGACCCCCCGACAATTGACCCCCCGACAATTGACCCCCGACAATTGACCCCCCGACAATTGACCCCCCGACAATTGACCCCCGAAAATATAATTTAATACAATTAACCCTGACCCTGACCCTGACCCTGACCCTGACCCTGACCCATGACCCTGACCCAGGAACAGCTGTCCCTGACCCTAACCCTAACCCCAACCCTAACCCTAACGTTAACCCTAACCCTAACCCTAACCCTAACCCTAACCCTAACCCTAACCCTAACCCTAACCCTAACCCGATTAATTTACCCCAGTTTAATTACAATTGTCGGGGGTCAATTGTCGGGGGGTCAATTGTCGGGGGGTCAATTGTCGGGGGGTCAATTGTCGGGGGGTCAATTGTCGTACTAAGCCCTAGATTTCGCGACAATTGACCCCAGTGTAATTACATAGAGGGTCAATTGTCGGGGGGTCAATTGTCGGGGGGTTAATTGTCGGGGGGTCAATTGTCGGGGGGTCAATTGTCGTACTAAACCCTAGATTTCGCGACAATTGACCCCAGTGTAATTACATAGGGGGTCAATTGTCGGGGGGTCAATTGTCGGGGGGTCAATTGTCGGGGGGTCAATTGACCCCCCGACAATTGACCCCCCGACAATTGACCCCCCGACAATTGACCCCCGACAATTGACCCCCCGACAATTGACCCCCCGACAATTGACCCCCGAAAATATAATTTAATACAATTAACCCTGACCCTGACCCTGACCCTGACCCTGACCCTGACCCTGACCCTGACCCTGACCCTGGCCCTGACCCTGACCCTGACCCTGACCCTGACCCTGACCCATGACCCTGACCCAGGAACAGCTGTCCCTGACCCTAACCCTAACCCCAACCCTAACCCTAAGCCTAACCCTAACCCTAACCCTAACCCTAACGTTAACCCTAACCCTAACCCTAACCCTAACCCTAACCCTAACCCTAACCCTAACCCTAACCCTAACCCTAACCCTAACCCTAACCCGATTAATTTACCCCAGTTTAATTACAATTGTCGGGGGTACCTACCTTGGGTACCTTGGGTTCGTTTCGGGCCAGCACGCCCAGGCCAAGACATCTTGCGTCTCCACCACCGGTGTCTCCGTTATCATGTCTTGCTCACAGCCCATTCCAAGATTGAATTGCCGTTAGCCGCTGTATATCCAGGGGTAGGAGGGGTGTCGGGGACGGTATGAAGAAAGCGATCAAGTGCTGCCTTGAATTTTGGCAAGGTTGGGATAGACTTGATGTCGTGAGGCACAGCGTTATACAAAGCAGAAGCCACTGAAGGGAAAGAGTGGAACCTCATGGTATTGGTGCTTTTGTATTTTGATCCGCCAAGAGGACGAAGACATGTAACTCCTCTTCTTTGAGAGTGCTGGAAAGTAATGTTTACACTGTTGGGAATCTCACCGTAGTAAATTTTCCAGACAAGGATGATCATGTACCTCTCGCGGCGGCGCTGTAGGGAGTAGAGATCAAGCTGCTTCAGGCGCTCCCAGTAGCTAAGATGCTTGTATCCTGCTATTTTTGCAGTGAATGAGCGTTGGATCGACTCAATCATGATTATGTCACACTGCAGGTGAGGCGACCAGAGAGCACAGCAATACTCGGTAATTGAGCGGACGTATGTCTTGAAGAGCATCATCATCGTGTCTTTGTCTCTGGTAGAGAAAGTTCTCAGTACCCATCCAGCTTTGCTCGCTGCCTCAGAGGACTTTCTTGTGATGTGTTGACGCCAGGAGAGATCACTGTCAACATACACACCGAGATCTTTCACGACATCATCAGAAGATATCGATGCACCAGATGGTAAAATGTAGGGTTTCTTTAGCTCAGGGTTCTTACCATGCTGGAGAAGTTGGAACTTACTTTCGTTTAGCTCCATGTTGTTTGCTACTGCCCATTGCACTACTGCACAGAGATCTTCCTGGAGACATTTGCAGTCGGACGGGGAGCTGATGTTTTTGTGGAGCTTGGAGTCATCAGCGAACACTTTTACTTTGCAATGTTTTACAACTTGGAACAGGTCGTTGATATACAAAATAAATAGCAGTGGGCCTAACACAGTGCCCTGTGGTACCCCACTTAGCACCATTATGACGAGAGATTCAATACCATCTACAACGACATGTTGGGTTCTTCCACTGAGGAAACTCTCCAGCCAACGGTGGGCGTTGCCCTGGATGCCGTACATATGGAGCTTCTTCAAAAGTATAGCGTGATCTACCTTATCGAAGGCTTTGCTGAAATCAAGATACAGAATATCAGCATTTTCGTCACCGTCTAAGTCATCCATGATGTCTTGGACGTGGTGAAGAAGTTGAGTAAGACAGCTTCTTCCAGCTTGAAAGCCGTGTTGATCGTGATTGATTATGTCTTGAGCTACAATGTAGTCAACCAGCTTAGCGCGGACGACCCTCTCGAACATCTTTATGAGGTTGGATGTTAGAGATACCGGTCGATAGTTGGCAGCAATCGACCTTTTCCCCTTTTTAAAAAGGGGGATAATACTCTGTTTCTTGAATTTTGTAGCTATTTCACCAGAGCTTACCGAAGCTTTCCAAAGCTTGGTTATCACAGGAGCTAGGACAATTCCGCATTCCTTGAGGATTAGGACTGGGAACTTGTCAGGTCCGACTGCTGAGAAACGATTCATCGCTTTGATGGCGTCGAGGATATCTTGCTCATTAAAGTCGATGTCTGTGATAGAATGAGGTTGCTCAATGACCTTGGACGTCCGGACTTCGGCTAGATTTGCCTTTTTGGGGTCACTGAAAGCACTCGCATATTGATCCTGTAAGATATTACCCATAGTGGCTGGATCAGACTGGAGCTTGTCATCACTATCCAATAGGGGTCCGACAGATGCAGCAGGGGTTTTAAACCTCTTTGCGAAGGTATAAAACGCCTTAGGATTAGTCTTGATCTTACTAAGAGCAACAAGTTCTTCTCTGGCTCGCTGCTGTTTAATGTCCGCTTTAAGGAGCATCTCGACAGCAGCCCTCTCTTCATCCAGCTTGCGAAGCTTGACATTGTTGCGAGGCGGAGAAGGGCCACAAAATCTGTATTTGATACAGTTGATCCTGGCATTAAGGCGCTTTTTCTTTCTAAGGAGAGCCACCCTTGACCTCGGGATTTTTGAAGATGCTGCGGCTTGACGATTGTGGCTATGTGAAGGTGCGTGTTTCTTGCAGATCTGCACAAGGATCCCTTCAAACATATCCCATGCAGCATCTTGGCTAGTTGAAGGGTTGGTTACTGTCGACCAGTCTACAGTAGTGAGTTCCTTGTTGATCAAGGCCCAGTCAGCAGCATTGAAGTTGATGTCATCAAGTGCTGTGGCAGGACTACTGTTTCCTTGCTGGTTGCTCAAGTAGGAACTGCGGGTGGAGGAGAGTACAGGTCACTATGTCGTGGTCTGATTTCTCCGTCTTTGACACTGATAGACCGTGGATTAAGTCGGTGTTGTTGGAGAGGATCAGGTCAAGGATGTTTTGGTCCTTCCTAGTGGGTTCGTCGACTAGCTGCTCTAGGAAGTTTGAAGATATGAACTCCATAAAGGCTAGTCCCGAGTTCGTGTCGGAAGCCGATTTGCTGGAGTTTGGTTTGATCGACTTACTGGACCAGTCTACAAACGGCAAATTAAAGTCACCTGCAATGTAGAGTTCAGGAGAACCAGGGAGGTGGTCTATAAAGTCTTGAATCGCACTCAGACAGTCATCAAATTTGTCGAATGGTGCCTGTGGTGGGCGGTACACGCCAACAAGGAGAAAGTTACTGCTAGCGATGTGAACCATTGCAACTTCACAATAGGAGTTAGAGTATACTTTTATCGTGTCAGCAGGTAAAGAGTGGTGTAGGTAGATAGCTACACCGCCTTGAGCACGTTTGTCTCGGTCAGCTCTGATGGTACTGTAGCCAGGGCCGGGATACACGTCTCTGCTTCAACATGGTATGGCTTCAGATGAGTCTCCGTCAGAATAAAGAAGGGAGTGTGGAGCGGGCTGGTTGCTAAATTCTCGTGGAGAGATTTTAATTTCCATTGCTGGTTCTTTATCCCAGGATTCATTCCTTGTATGTTAAGATTTAAGAAGAAATGTTGAGGAGATCGGGAGTATTGATTTGAGGTCTACTTTCCCAGCAGCGGTTGGTAGAGAGCAGGCTGTTGCAGGTGCTGTGCAGGGTAGCCCTGGGGAAGATGAGGGGCTTGTTGATAGGGTTGCTGAACTGCAGTTGAGTACTGAACACCCGGACGAAGATATAACTGGGGGTTCGGGTTTGTTTGCGGAGGTAGATGAGAGGCCATCATTGATTCGAGTGATTTCTGAATCATGCACGACATCTCTTTCGACCAATCCGCTTTCAACTGGTCCAAATGCTGGAGAAAATCCTTGTTGCTAAAAAATTTCGAAGCATTTTTATCTTGAGGCGGCTTCAAAGTTGATGTATTCTTCCTGCTGCGCTTATGATTGTCTTGAGCAGGAGGGACATCCCCTTTCTTTCCTGTTAGAACAGGTTTAGTGGGTGGTTTGTCGCTGCTGATACGCTTTACACCTCTAATATGAATGAGCTTGCATTCATTGTTTAGGCACAAGTTAGAGACAAGACCATTTTGGCAAAGTTGGGTATGGAAGTAGCGGCAGCTATCTCCACGATTGCAACCGCGGCGACGATCTTTGCCTCCGGGACCGTTCCGCATAAATCGCTTGCACCACGTGGGATGGTAGTGTTGGCACTTGCCATCAGTAAGTCCAGTAATGCCATGCGGGCATTCCTGTTTCAAGAGTAAAGGACAAACTGGTATGCTGCGATCGTAAACTTCGTTGATTGGAGTCTTGATCTCTTTGTCCTCCGTGTTAGTTTTCAGATCGTTAGCAGTGGTTTCTGCATTAATGGTAGAATCAGATTCAGCCTGCACATCGGACTTAACAGATATGTTGTTGCTTATCACATCCTTCTGGTCAGTAACAGGGAGAATTTGCTCCGTTTGCTGTGGTGACGGTTGACTCCAGCTGGAGAGACACTCGCCGCACAGAAATACAACTCCTATTTCCTCGTCAACATGCGTGTCAGTATAACAACCACGGTGACCGGGTCTCTTACAACGACAGCATATTACTTCGCTGGGCGAGTTGTCCGAGGAGTAAGGAGTAAAGTCGGCCTTGCACTTCAGACAGCGAATTGCACGTGCGTCTTGGATAAACTGCACAATCGCCGTAGCAGCTACCGCCTTGGTTAGGTGGTTTCCGCTTTTTAGGGTAGAAATTCGTTCCGCAAGAACTGGATAGTCGCTATCCATAGACTGGAGAAGCTTTACCGCATTAGCTAGGTGTTTCTGAAGGATGGTTCTAGAGTTACCTAGCAGGTCCACATTTTGCTCAAGGGACTTGTTGCTTTGGTATGCATCTAAGAGGACCTTAATCTCAGTTTCTGGAGTTAAAGCTTTTATCTTCCCGATGAGCAGTTCATCGCTAGAGAAGTCGTGTACACTCATCGATCCAGTAATATGTATAATCCTTCGAAAACAACTGTGTTGCACACTTGTATACACACTGTGTATAACAGGTGTAATAAGAAGGTTAAGCTCTTACACACGTTACACGCAAATATTGCTTATATCGGTAGATATATCAGAGCTATTAAAATCGTTGCAAAATGTAAACGTACTACTAACTTCAATTTGTCGGGGGGTCAATTGTCGGGGGGTCAATTGTCGGGGGGTCAATTGTCGGGGGGTCAATTGTCGTACTAAGCCCTAGATTTCGCGACAATTGACCCCAGTGTAATAACATAGAGGGTCAATTGTCGGGGGGTCAATTGTCGGGGGGTTAATTGTCGGGGGGTCAATTTTCGGGGGGTCAATTGTCGTACTAAACCCTAGATTTCGCGACAATTGACCCCAGTGTAATTACATAGGGGGTCAATTGTCGGGGGGTCAATTGTCGGGGGGTCAATTGTCGGGGGGTCAATTGTCGGGGGGTCAATTGTCGGGGGGTCAATTGTCGGGGGGTCAATTGTCGGGGGGTCAATTGTCGCGGTACCTACCTCCAGACCCATAGCATAAGGGAAAAGCACACAAAATAAATAATATGATCTGAAACTTTCTGCAAGACTTAAAATCAGATTTCTAATTGCTATTGTTCGAAATTTCTTGTGCAACTGTTACACTGATATAGTGTGTACTGTGTATGGTGCTGGGTTTCTCATGGAAGACATTATTTGGATTTCCCCAACTTACCAATGCGTTATTTACACAGGAGTCGAAGGACTGAGCAATCTGGTTACACCGTAACACTTGGTCGGGGTTAGCTCTGTAACATTCCGCTAGATCTGATACGTTACTGCTGCACATCTCCTTCTTCTCTGGAATCCTGATATGGTGTGCTAGTTATTACATCTACACTCTGCTACTAAAGTACAGCGCGCGAACGTATTTCAGCTGTATTACCAGGCGACAGCTCTGAGTGCGCTAATAGCAGTCGAGGGAGGGTTGGCGCGAAATGTCGACAAATGACCGCAATTAAACATCGCCCTGCTGTAATGTTCATAAACATAGAGATTCGGCGGAATGACAGGCTGAGCGCCGCCCAGTAACACCCTATAACAGAACGGAATGGAATTAAACTTGTTTTTATTCCATTCCAAAACCGGGCTTCAGGGGAAAAACGAAAAGTGTACGGTATAGAAAAAAGAACCCGGTATGGCGGTATAGAAACGTTAAAATTATCCCAATCCCCAGTATCTGTGGCCTCTCAATTAATCTTTCAAGCGTCTCACATGCTCAATATGTGTATTCTATGTACGTATTGTGTAATTGTGATGGAATACTGTTGGGGGGGGGGGGGGGGGGGGGGAAGGGGGGGGGGGCAACCATATTAAAGTACATTAAATTTTAAAATGTAGGTTTTTTTTTTCAATTTTGACCCGGGGATAGACTTTAATATACTTTAATATACCTATATTATCTCGATTCAAAATTTGGCCGCTTAATTTATTTAAAGGCCTCCAATGTATAGATTAGATTTAACTTTCATGTTAAGTTAGTCTTGTTCAAAGATATTGATACTTGACCAATTTATGAGTTCAGGGGACTAACAACTGCCTCATCTTGTAAATCTTAACGAAGAATATAAATCTACTAATTGTAAGTATATTAAAAAATATTAAAATGTAGTGTTTTTCCGATTTTGACCCGGGGATATACGTTAATATGGTTGCCCCTCCCTCCCCCCCCCCCCCACTGTTCGATATCACGCAGTCACATCACCACGAAATGTGAGGTCACGCAGGTGTGATCCAATGCAGGATATACGAACCCTTGACACACGTGCACGAAAGAGGTATACAACGTGTAGCAAACGAACCCGCACAATCAATATGAGTAATATGTATAAATGCTAAATTGGAAATACATTTACGACTCTTCAAACCTATAGATCACAGCAATAACAAGAATTGCGCCCGTTTGTTCGGCTGTCGGCGGACGCTAAATTTCCATCCACTTGCACCAACTCTTCAAATTTTATCATGCCTTGGCCTTCAATTAATTTTTCGTTTCTTGTGTCACGTGAATTGGCTTAATTGACTAGCTGAATAGTGAATAGTTACATTAAACCAAAGTAAAAGTTGATCGTTGTACCTCAGCTGAGCAGGTCAGCCAATGCAATTAAAGTGGGCCGGACCAGCTTAATGTAATTGTTGATTAGCTCAAGTTTGGAGGTGCCGCGAGTTTGGTTGTCTGTAATAAAATACTTGTGCATCGAAGAAAATAAATGTTGTTCAGACACAGCGCGCGCGTTAAGGCAATTTAATTAATTTTACTGATAAGCCGCGCGACTGTATTCTGAAATATCGCGTGTAGATTTAATTTGAATGTTCCTCCGCAAACGTTAAGATAAGATAACCTATAGATCACAGCAATAAAAATGGTTGGTGTAAAGTATTTCTACCTAAGGGACTTCGTTGTTTTTCTGACACTTGACAGGACTAGAAGGTTCAAATGATCTGTGAAACTTTCTGGAAAACTATCAACCATCTGGAACGAGCCGTAACTAATAAATTATACTATACTGGCGCGGCTCGGCCGGGCGGCCAGCCGGCTGTTCTAGCGTGGATTCTAATCCGATAGGATAACGCCATTCCTGGTTGGACGACGTTCGCTGTCCTAGGGCGATCCGATCGCATTTCAGATTGTCGTCCGATCGCTCTTGATCGCTAGGCGCTCGGATTTTATTTTTGAGAGGCGATAGGATAGAAAAATCCGAGAGCCTAGCTCTAGGATTTTACGTCTCCGAGAGGTGTGCTCTCGGATTTATCATTTCCGGGAGATAAAATGCGTGTTGCGCGTTTCCGAACTCAAATAAAATTCCATCGAGATCGAAAACATGAAAAAAAATTTAAAATATTAACTTTTAGTATGTTTTCATTCTTCCGTAAAATTAATGAGAAAATATAGAGAAGCAAAATTCATCATCATTGGATACGGCCATACTCGGTTGAATACACCCCATCTCGTTCGATCTCGGAAGTTAAGCAACTGCAGGCCGGGTTAGTACTTGGATGGGTGACCGCCTGGGAATTCCCGGTGCTGTATCCTTTTGTTATATTTCCGAAGAACAATAGTGCAGACATCTTCGCACTATTTTGAATATAAAGTACCCAGGAGTCATCTCCAACAAAAACTTGTATAAACGCTGCAATGCTGAACCATTGTCAGAAAAAGTGGCCCGTAGTCGGTGGAGAATGTTAGGACATGTTTTGCGGGGTCCTTTTGACGGACCAGCGTTTTCTTCCCTCATTTTTGCCATCAATACACTGGACTTACCAGGGAGAAGAGGAAGACCCCAAAGCAATCTATTCTCGCTGATTGTGCATGATTTATGTAAAAGAAATATTTATTTGAATAATATCTTTGACCTGCATTATCTCTGTAATTTAGCGTATGACAAGAGATATTGGCGGGAATTGCAATGAAGTTTTTGATTTTTAGTTTTTATTTTAGGGAAAGATTAGACTTGGGCGTTGTTTTTTAAACTATCCCTTGTTTAGAACTTTGATTTAATAATTTAATAATGTTTTACTGAACAGAAGAAATTGTGAATGGCTTTTTCAGAATTGCAGTGGTTATTAAGAGTAGCATTTTATCCTCAGAAATATAGTCTATGTTCAAACGCAAGGAAATGTTTCCAAATGTCAGAATAACATGGCTTAGAATAGCTACAAAGTTTTGTCTGAAAGGGCTTTGTTGTCTCATTCTAAGATCTATCTGAAACATTCTTATCTGCTCAAAATTGATTAGAATATATTCTTAAGTTAACTTGAAGAGTACTACAAGGTATCCTGAAGTTAACTTGAAGGGTACTACAAGGTATCCTAGAGTTAACTCAAAAAGTACTACAAGGTATCCTGAAGTTAACTTGAAGAGTACTACAAGGTATCCTGAAGTTAACTTGAAGAGTACTACAAGGTATCCTAGAGTTTACTCAAAAAGTACTTCAAGGTATCCTGAAGTTAACTTGAAGAGTACTACAAGTTATCCTGAAGTTGACTTGAAGAGTACTACAAGTTATCCTAGAGTTAACTCAAAAAGTACTACAAGGTATCCTGAAGTTAACTTGAAGAGTACTACAAGGTATCCTGAAGTTAACTTGAAGAGTACTACAAGGTATCCTAGAGTTTACTCAAAAAGTACTTCAAGGTATCCTGAAGTTAACTTGAAGAGTACTACAAGTTATCCTGAAGTTGACTTGAAGAGTACTACAAGTTATCCTAGAGTTAACTCAAAAAGTGCTACAAGGTTTTATCCTGAAGTTAACTTGAAGAGTACTACAAGTTATCCTGAAGTTGACTTGAAGAGTACTACAAGGTATCCTAGAGTTAACTCAAAAAGTACTACAAGGTATCCTGAAGTTAACTTGAAGAGTACTACAAGGTATCCTAGAGTTAACTCAAAAAGTACTACAAGTTATCCTGAAGTTGACTTGAAGAGTACTACAAGGTATCCTAGAGTTAACTCAAAAAGTACTACAAGAGGCATCATGTAGCCTCCAGGCTCGACAAACCCCGACAAACCCCGACACACCCCGACAAACCCCGACAAACCCCGACATATCCTGACAAACCCCGACAAACCCCGACAGACCCCGACAAACCCCGACATATCCCGACAAACCCCGACAAACCCCGACATATCCCGACGTGTCGAGATATGTCAGGGTATGTCGGATTATGTCAGTTTGCCCAATAATTTCGGTATCAAATTGACGAAAATAATACTCTGGAGCTCTCATAATACAATTTTTTCCGTTCGCACTCTTTTGTAGAAAGACAATAGTGAAAGGTTACGAATGGACGTTTTAGCAGAAAAACGTGGATTTTGGAGAACGAGGTAAGTGGCTATAAATATGTCGTCAGTCCTTCCTTCCTTCCGTAAGTTACCATGACAACTAGCGTGCAGTGCAGCGCGCGAGTATTGCTTGCGGAGATTTAATGTATATTATATAGCTAGCATGTCAATGAATGCGCGGCGCGAGTGTATTTTAATGTATGCTATGTTATGTACAGTATTAGGTAATAAGCCCAATTTGTACATGGCATGCGTAGTATAATGTACTCTGTGTATATTATTATTATAAAGTGAGCTGATTAGAGCTTATATTTATAGTTATAGTGAATGGAAATCTAGCGTCCGCCAAAACGAAACAACGGGCGCAATTATTGTTAAAACTGTGCACTCAGTATAATAATAATCTAATACGCACTATGAAGCTATGAGCACGAGAGAAGAGTACTACACCGGACGGGACTGCAAGATTGTGAGAAAGCAAGAGCGCAGCGCAAGAGACCAAAAGAGCAAGAGTGGGAGACAGTAAGAGCCACAGGATGAAAAGAAAGGAGTGTTGCGTCAGGCTTTGCTTCGCCGCATCGGTTCATTTCCTTACCAATACATACATGCTACATAAAGAGGTCTCCTCCTAGTCGTTGGAGTGGCCTGCATCACACACATCTCTTCTACGGCGTAACATGTTCCTCCATTCCACTCGCTTTAGAGCCAACTGTTTTACTTCATCTCTGCTGATGTTATCGACACCTGTAAATTCAGCCGCATCCTCGAGTACACAGGCCATCCAGCCTTTGCGGGGTCGTCCTCTCAGTCTCTTTCCATAGTTTGGTTTCCAATCCAGTAAGAAATTGGGGAACCGCGTCTCTGGCATTCTGACAACATGTCCGTACCACCTTAGTCTAGCCGCACCGATGAAAGTTTCGATAGACTTAATTCCAGCACGCCTGAGAACTTCTTCATTGGAGACATGGAAGAACCACTTTATCTTCAAGATTCTTCTCAGGGAGGTCAGATGGAAGACCTCAAACCGTTTCATCTGCTTTTTTGTTGTGTTCCACACTTCAGCTCCATATAACAGAATAGTAATAACAGCAGCCTTGTAGATACGGATCTTGGTGGGCGTTCTTATAGTTCGACTGTTCCATATCTTCCAAAGCTGATGGAACGCACCATTAGCACGCTGGATCCTGATGTCAAGATCTCGGTCAATGGTACCATCCCCACTGATGTTGGCACCAAGATAAACAAAGTTGCTGACCTGTTCAACAGGTTCTCCCTCCACTGTTAGCTTTATACTGTCTCTTTTGGTGTAAGGTCGCTGGGACGCACACTTGCTGATCGCCATGTATTGTGTCTTTTTAGCGTTGATCTTCAACCCAGCATAAGAGGTGTAATAAGCTATAAGATCAGTGGACTCTTGCAGCCCTTCTTCAGTATTGTCCATCACTGCCAGATCATCAGCGTAGTCACTATCCATGATAACTTTTTCATCTGCACCCTTTAGTTCCTTTTGCAGTACAGCACCATGACTGATTGCCTTGTGAACCTCGGCCAAAAAGATTCCAAAGTTCAGACAGAAATTAAATACAGGAGGGCCCTGGATATCACCCTGTCCAGTGCCCGAATTAACAGAGAACCAATCAGACATTTCACCATTAACCCTGACAGCACTCATGGTTCCGTTGAAGAATGCCTGAAAGATTCTAACATATTTCTCAGGAAGTCCATAGTGTCTCATGCTTGACCAAATAAACTCTCTTCTGATGGAATCAAACGCTGCCTTAAAATCAATGAAATTAACATAAAGTGGAATGTTAAACTCAATGCAGTTGTGAATAATGGTGCGGATGGAATAAATCTGATCAATACATGAGCGGTTCCGTCTGAACCCACACTGATTTTCCCTAACTCCCTAAGAAGACACTCCATTCCAACATCCAGCCTCTTAAGAAGAACCATTTGAAGAACCTTAGAAGACGTTGCCCTAAGAGTTATACCCCTATTATTGCAGCAGTATATACTACCCTAATATATACTTATATATACTTACCAATACTTGCCTAAATCCAATTCAATGAAACAAGCGATGCTGAATAAAAACAACAAAATTTGTATCATGTATTTTAAATAACATACATACGTATATAAGTTATTGAAAGTTTCAAAAGTATTACTAATACTAAGAGTAACTTTTAAAATGTACTTTACAAGGCATTATACAACTTAGAAGTACACGTATCCCAAAGGCCAAAATATCATGCAATTTGTAAAATTTAAACAAATATTCTTAATTATCATTGATAATTTTCTACATGTGTCGAACTCTAAAAACTACAACCCATTGTAAGAAGATTTAACGTGTAGCCTTTTTGTTATTGTTAAAATAATAAAAAACAATGTAATATCTATTATATAGTGCTGGCACTATATACATGATGCTCATCACAATTATAATGATATCAAAATATGATAATTGGTAATGTACTGGCCAGTATATTAACATAGATCCGCTCATTACGTACCGAAGTGAACATTCACTAAGCACCGTTGATCGTCGTAATCAGAGAGCGCGGTAAAGGAGTAAAGGGCGGGAAGGAGTGGAGATTGGACAGTTAAGACAAGTTTGGAACTTTTGGGATCCATCGTTCAAAAAATTTCAAAACAAAACTTACATGAAAATTATGAAGCTTATTATAACCATTGATACAAAGGCCATAATCTTTCGCCAGCTCTTTAATATCCACCTTGAAGCTACATTTTATATCCTTGAACTACACAATATAAACTAAAGCATGTTTTAGTGTAGGCTTTTTGTCACAACAAGACTGCAACCTATAGTATCAACTATAAACAGAACCCCTAATGTCTACTAAAAAATTTCTTCTAGTCCTAATATGAGCCTTGTCTCTAAAAACCTAACTGAACTAGCGTTTCGGTGTGTGCAAAAGCTTTCAGGCATGCGCATTCCTTGCCCCGTTAGTTACCTGTCCTTACAAAACCAAACTAGCAGTCAAGGACAAAAAGTCATACACCAAATGGGCATTATATTTTATGAATTGTTTTACATCTTTTTATTCTGTAAAATGTGCTAAAATTAAATTTCTTGTTTCATTGAATTTCTTGTTTCATTGATGAAACCTCACAAAAATCTCCAAATCAATCACAATGCCTTCTAAAGTACAATGAATCAATGTCCAAAAAAGATCAATTCGAGAGAAATCTTAGTTCCCAAAACAAGAACTTTATGTTTTTAGAAATAAAATAACAATATTTCAGCATCAAAGTATCAAACAGTTCCCAGGTAATTTGACACTACTACATAATTCAATGTACTAAATAATTCAATATTTTAAAAACAACTTTAAAAACTTTATCAACTACTGCCCGACGTGACTCGTGTGCCACATTGTACCAACTCTTGCTCTTCGTCCAAGCTTTTTCGTCTACTTGGCGTAGGGCGCGGTAAGATTTTATGTAATCACGCGCGTACTTATCGCGCGCTGTAGTAACACGTACACATGGTCTTGTGGCTTCCAATGACCCCTGTAATCCATGTGCGGGGCAGGAGGGTCAAGCACTCTTTTTCTGGAATGAGCCTCCTGATCCATGTGTGGGGCAGGAGGGTCAAGCACTGTTTTTTTCAGGTTGACCCTCCTGCGCCATTATACTGCCATTGATCAATCTTCTTTAGGCAACTTCCAATCACTTTTCATCCATTATTAACGAATCCTGACAAACCCCGACAAACCCCGACAAACCCCGACAAACCCCGACAAACCCCGACACACCCCGACAAACCCCGACAAACCCTGACAAACCCCGACAAACCCCGACAAACCCCGACAAACCCTGACAAACCCCGACAAACCCCGACAAAACCCCGACAAAACCCCGACGTGTCGAGGTGTGTCGTATCAAGTCGGGCCCACCGGCTACATGATGCCTTACAAGGTATCCTGAAGTTAACTTGAAGAGTACTACAAGATATCCTGGATTAACTTGAAGAGTACTACAAGTTATCCTGAAGTTGACTTGAAGAGTACTACAAGGTATCCTAGAGTTAACTCAAAAAGTACTACAAGTTATCCTGAAGTTAACTTGAAGAGTACTACAATCGAGGTAAACTATAGGTAAAAATATAATATTAATCATAAAAAGAAGAAAGCTATATGGCGGCTTTGTAGATGTTATCCTGAAGTTGACTTGAAGAGTACTACAAGGTATCCTAGAGTTAACTCAAAAAGTACTACAAGGTATCCTGAAGTTAACTTGAAGAGTACTACAAGGTATTCTGAAGTTAACTTGAAGAGTACTACAAGGTATCCTGAAGTTAACTTGAAGAGTACTACAAGGTATCCTAGAGTTAACTCTTATAGAGAACTACAAGTTAGCTTCAAGTTATCATTTATCTACTTAATTTAACCTAAACAACCTCCATGTTGTTGTAGCCTGCAGGCAACCGTGGATCAACTTAAGATAAAGCGATGATATGATCCTGAAGTTAACTGACAGAAAGCATGAAGTTTCAACCTACAGTTAGATATGCGTCGTCTTCCAATTATATCGGTCCTGATATTTGAAATTTTATCGCCTCTCGGATTTGCTCTCGGATTTGCTCTCGGATCCTATAGGATTTGAGTATCCTATCGGGTCCGAGAGCAAATCCTATCGGCACTCGGAATTGTTAAATCCTATCTCCGCTAGGATTAGCGCTCGGATCCGATAGGTTTATAATTTCCTATCGGGTCCGAGAGCAAATCCTATCGCCTCTCGGAACTTACACATCCTATCGCCGCTCGGCGATAGGAATTCATCGGAGGTATCCTGGGGGGACTGGATCGGCGTTAGGATTGATAAAATCCGAGATATCTCGGACGCGCTAGAATAAATCCTAGGGTAATCCTGTCTAATTAGAATCGCAGAAATCGACGTTCTGAACAGCCGTGAGCCGGCGCGCGCAATGATTGATTGTTGAATGCCCCAAAGTTTCTACACAACGGTGAATTCGCGGCTTACGTAAAATTGAAATCGAATAGTGATTCCAGAAGGATTTACGACAAAACTTTTCCAAATAAAACTGTAAGGCCTACAAAATGAATTGTTTTAAATTTAAGGTAACCCTTCAAACACAAGAAAATATTCCCAAATCGGTGGTTCGCTGCGGAACACAGGCATCTAGAGATACAGAGATATAGAGATCCTACTATACGATTTTCTTTAAATTTCCAAGATAATATTTGACAAAAATCAGTGTTAGTACTAATAAGACTAAATTAGAAGTTACTGGTGTTTTATGAAAAGTTTGAATGAAACTTACTGGAGCTTTGAAGTGACAAGGCCGAATCCTTCTTCGTGAGCACAACTTATGTCCTGTTTTCGTTTTTGCAACTGAAAAACCATCGTTTAAATTGACAATTTTCATCAGACCAAAAGAACCATTAGACAAAGAATATGAGAATGTTTAACTAGATTGTTGCGATACAGTCAGTGGGGTGGGGGGGGGGGGGGAGGGGAGGAGTACTATACTCCCCCCCCCCCCCCCTTGGGGTGGGGTACTATACTCTCACCACTCACATTGCTTTCAATAACACTAAATCTATTCCGCCACCGTGACCGCTCTGTATTCAAAGCATTAGACATCACACCAGCGTCTATTCTAGCTTGGTCCCTTGCTCCTTCTACCTTGGCTTCTGTTATAATCTTCTGTACCTGAACAATATTGCTCTAGAAAAGTACGATCAGACAAACGGTCAATTGAAAATATTCACGGCTATTTTAAAAGGTTTTAAACACTGATTGAAATTAATCCGACGAAAATAAGGTCGTTAATCGGGATACACACCTCTTGTTTTTTGTACTCTCCAAATAATGACTGAGCGAGATTGTCTGACGGTGGAAGCTCATTTATTTCATCAGGGATTGATACCGCAACCACAGGCTCGATAACCGGCTTAATTTGAGTTAACTCTACAGCTGGTCCAACCTCTACTTCTACCACTGGCTCAACGACTGGCTCAACGACTGGCTCAACGACTGGCTCAACGACTGGCTCAACGACTGGCTCAACGACTGGCTCAACGACTGGTTCAACGACTGGTTCAACGACTGGCTCACTCTCAGTAGATTCAGGCTCTACTGGTTTAGCGATTTTATCAGTCTCTGGTTCCGAATTGGCTATTTCATTTCTAGCCGAGATGAAGTATGGTTCGATGGCTTTCTGTATTAAACCGAATAAGCTATGAGACTCTGAAGAATCAGATGAGGTCTTAACAATCTCTGATTGAACAATAGCTTCTGGTGTCATTACAACAGACTCTGGTATTTCAACAGGTTCTGGCAATAAATGAACTGGCTCTGATGCCGTTTCAATAGACTCTAGGACCGGTTCAATAGACTCTATGACCGGTTCAACAGGCTCTGGTAATGTTTCGACAGGCTCTGACACCGTTTCAATTGACTCTAGGACCGGTTCAACAGGCTCTGGTACCGTTTCAACAGACTCTGGCATCGTTTCAATAGACTCTAGGACCGGTTCAACAGGCTCTAGTACCGTTTCAACAGGCTCTATTACCGTTTCAACAGGCTCTAGTACCGTTTCAACAGGCTCTGACACCGTTTCAATAGACTCCAAGACCGGTTCAACAGGCTCTGGTACAGTTTCGACAGGCTCTGACACTGTTTCAATAGACTCTAGGTCCGATTCAACAGGCTCTGGTACAGTTTCGACAGACTCTGGCACCGTTTCAATGGACTCTAGTGCCGGTTCAACAGGCTCTGGTACAGTTTCGACAGACTCTGGCACCGTTTCAATGGACTCTAGTGCCGGTTCGACAGGCTCTGGTACAGTTTCGACAGACTCTGGCACCGTTTCAATGGACTCTAGTGCCGGTTCAACAGGCTCTGGTACAGTTTCGACAGACTCTGGAACCGTTTCAATGGACTCTAGTGCCGTTTCGACAGGCTCTGACACTGTTTCAATAGACTCTAGGACCGATTCAACAGGCTCTGGTACAGTTTCGACAGACTCTGGCACCGTTTCAATGGACTCTAGTGCCGTTTCGACAGGCTCTGGTACAGTTTCGACAGACTCTGGCACCGTTTCGATAGACTCTAGTGCCGTTCCGACATGCTCTGGTATAGTTTCATCTACCTCTGAAGGTATTTCAACAGGTTCGGTCACTGATTCAACTGCTTCAACAGACTCAGATAACACAGGTTCAAGCTCCACATCTTCTTGGTTGAGTATTTCAACATGTTCCACTACTGGTGTGTCAGGTGATTGCTCGATAATATGATCTTGAGCTGGGTCTGCTTCTAATTCAGTTGCAGGAGCCTCTAAAACTGCTTCTAATTCAGTTGCAGGAGCCTTTGAATCTTCTACAATTTCCTGTTCGATGGGTAACGATTCAACTATTGCGTTAGTCTCCAAGATGAGTAGTTCCACAACTGGTTCCTCTATTGTAGATACATGAGCCCCAGGTTCTACATTACACTGCTCCTCTGCTGAAGGATCTGAAATGGCAGGTTCCAGAATAGCTTTCGTTTCAGCTGCCAATGTCTCCGATATTAATTCTAGTTCATCAGTGACAGGGAGTATAAAGATTGGTGCTTCTACTTGATCACCATCCAGTGGTCGCATTTCTTCCGCTGTTTCCATACAATCAAGTGATTTAACTTCTTCTTTGGGAGTAGTTGTAGGCTCAGATAATTCTTCTTCTTCTTCTTGTATAACGTTGTCATTCAGATTAGATGAAGCTGATTTGTCCTCTTGAACGGGTTCGTCTGAAAAGAGTGTAAATTAGAATACAATATTACATTCAAATGTAATTTACCTTAGTCATATGCGGTTTAAAGAGAATAAGTTTTAACCACAACTGCTTAATAGCAAATCTTACAACTATACATATATCGGAACAAAATCGTTATTACATATTATATTTAAACCACTACTGGAACATCCAAAATTCATATATTCCATTATATTCATATAAAAAGCATTGCGCGTAAATAAATATCAATATATAATATAAAATATCAATATAAATAGCTGTGTGTAAGATGGGAACAAAATCACATATTTAAGATGATTTAAATCAGAACACGCATTTTGAGTTGAACCGATTTGAATTTGATAAGAATCGATTTGAAATTGATAAAAGTAGCTTTGCGACAGAATTTATGCAATGTTTTCAGAGAAAAATAATGCTGGATTTGAAATGAAGAGAATCAACAAACACAAAAGCGCAGAACAGCATGCTGATTAACAGGGACAATGAACCTTTACCAGCTTGTTCTTCTCCGCACATTTCTTCAATACTTTCTTCTTTCAAATTATCCGTAAAAGCAGGTACTTCAGCTGGGTCGTTACCAATCATTAATACCTCCTCCTTTGGCGCATCATAAGATACCAATCCCTCTCGCTGGATTTCATCAGCTACAATAGCCGATATTTCTTGGTCAGATTTCTCAGGCACAGCCTGTTCTTGTGGTGCGGTAATTCCAATGTAAGGAGCTGTGGTATCTTCTTCTTCGGTACATTCCTTATCTGTGTCTGTGGTTGGAATAAGCTCTTCTTCTTCGGTACATTCCTTATCTGTCTCTGTGTGTGGAATGAGCTCTTCTTCTTTGGTACATTCCTTATTTGTCTCTGTGTGTGGATTAAGCTCTTCTTCTACTATACATTCCTTATCTGTCTCTGTGTGTAGATTGAGCTCTTCTTCTTCGGTACATTCCTTATCTGTCTCTGTGTGTGGAATGAGCTCTTCTTCTTCGGTACATTCCTTATCTGTCTCTGTGTGTGGAATGAGCTCTTCTTCTACTATACATTCCTCTACAGGTAGAGAGTCTGCAAATATTTTACCAGGTGAGCTAGGTTCAGTGTCTTGAATAGAACTATCAAAGTTTGACGTCATAACATCTTCTATTTCTTCATCATTGTCGGATAAAACGACAGACTCCAATTGGGGGGCATCATTTAACGGCTCCAATTCGATGATATCCTTTAGCGGCTCCAGGAGTGGAACCTCACTACCCTCTACACATCCCTCCCTGCACATTTCATCACCACTGTCGCTACTATTATCCTCGCTATCTGATAGCTCTATCTCACTATCAGTATCACTTAGATCTGTAGTGGGAACTAGCACGTTCTCTGTTGTACAGACTGTCTCACTTTCTCTATCATTAACATCTAATTCAAGAGCTTGATCAGATTCAGCAATCGCTGGTTCAATCTGTATCTGTTCAACCGTAGGATCCGTCACAATGTTAGGTTGATTATCAGCTGTAATTATCGTTTATTATTACAGTTATTCTTTTACAAAACAAATTTTTTTTTAATAAAACAAAAATATTACCGTATTAATAAAACAAAAATATTATTACGCCATTTATTGAAAATCCGGATAAGATATCGTACCTGCCATGTTCAGTTTTCAATTTAAAGCTATTTAAGTACTTATCAAACAATATTCGCAATATTTTGGCCTATAGCTCCCAATTTAGATTTATAGACTCAAAATGTAATAAACTGCTGCACTGCAGCTTGGTATTTTGGGCTACTAAGCCTCCTATGTCCACCCGAAAGATTGAATATGGTTCTTACATATATATAATGGGACGTATTGAATCCTCCTATTATTATAATATATTATTATTAAATATAAATAGTGAATTACTTGGTTGTAGTCCAGGGTATAAATATAGCGGGGGGAGCTCCAAAGCATTTACGGATCCAATTTGATTCCCCACCATTCCAGACATCACGGGAAAGTTACCTGGGTGAGAAACAGGTTAGACAAACCAGCTCCGTACCTGGGGTCACAATGAGCTCTACCAGCTCCCTACCTGGGGTCTCAATGAGCTCTACCAGCTCCCTACCTGGGGTCTCAATGGGCTCTACCAGCTCCCTAACTGGGGTCTCAATGAGCTCTACCAGCTCCGTACCTGGGGTTCTCAATGAGCTCTACCAGCTCCCTACCTGGGGTCTCAATGGGCTCTACCAGCTCCCTACCTGGGGTCTCAATGGGCTATACCAGCTCCCTACCTGGGGTCACAATGGGCTCTACCAGCTCATAAGGCTCGATGTCCTCATAGTATTCTTCTTCATCGTCCTCCTCCTCATCGTCTTCAAAGTCTAAACCCAAATCAGCTCCTATTGATTTATACAGCTCCATGTCAACCGTCTGAAGTAAGTTATGGTGTGAAATTATGAAATATAAAGGTTATGCAGCCCTGGTAGTATACTTCGTTGGAATCAAATGACGATTTAAAATAAAAGGGGGGGGGGGGGGGGGGGGGGGGGGCGAAACAGCTGCCGAAATGGAAACTCGTTGCTGGATTGAGGGGAATGAAGGCAGCGACCTCCGGGTGGTCAGCAACTCTTATGATGAACTGATAAAGTATCTACTATCTATGAAGCACACCAAATTAACCAGAGTACATTGGGGCTTATTTCTCAGTCACTGATTAAAATAATTCTTTCTGATATCGCTCATTCGAGGAAAATAACCATGTTAATTTTTCCGAATGCACGTTCACTTTCAGATATTTTGACTGACTGGATAGAGTTAAATAACAATGTATTGTGTTCGTCCTTACAAAATAAACATGTCCTGAAAAAATGGGAACTGTAGCTACTCAGATGACCGAGATATCAAGGATTTAAAAGAGTTTATTCATTACGTGGTATCAGGTGATTGGGTTGAAACTAGATCCACATTATGGGAAATGTGCAGAAAGCCTTATTACGGTGTCGTACCACGTTATCACATGATTAGCCAATCAATTTCGCTTTAAACGAGAAAATAATAATGATAATAACTAGAAATGTATACATCGCTTTATATCCAAAAAGAACTCAAAATCCAAGATTCAGTTCAAGCCATCTAAAGCGAACAAATTGCATGAACACTTTGTTAATTTGTATCCGTTTTGCGTCATCTTTCAGATCATATTCCTCATTTAAAGATTTAATGACCTATTGCAATATGTTAAAATGGTGTTTATATCATGTTCGCAAACAGTATAAGCAATTCAACGTTGATTTGGTGTGGCCAAAATCGAATTTTCAAATTTTGGCGACAGAATCCTCGATTGAGTAGTTACACTATACCTTCTGCAATCTGCAAAGTTACATGTTTCAAATATGAAACATGGCTATGCTATAAGAACCAATGTGTGTGTACTGATTGCCCCTCTCTCCCCCCCCCGGCCCCCCCTGTGACAATACACTCACCACATTTTTATCTGTAAGATTTTCGAGCTCCTCTGATAAACTATTTAGCTCCTCTTTTGATAACCGCCTCTTTGAAATCCTGACCTCCCCGTCATCATCACTCTCTAGCACTACTTGAGTAGTGTCTGTCTCGTTCGATGTAGATTGGGAAGAACCCATAGCTCCTTCTAACTCCTCTCACATTCAAAGCACCACCTTTTTGCTTTTTTAACGATAAATTGATTATTATATAATGCACAGCGAATTCTGTAACAAAAATTATAGAATGCAGTTCTAAATTTTGAATTTTGAGGAAAGAGGCATTAATTAATGATTTAACACACGCTAGTCGCTATCACAGTTTCCAAACAATCATGATTTGATATTATGGAGTTAAACAAAATTACAAAATTCATATGTAACATTCTCATATTATAAATACATGGTTCTAAAGGTGCCCTTTAGCTATAAAGCAACGAAGAAATGCTTAGTACGTAATTTAAAACCGAGAAATTACAAGAAAACCAACAAAAATGCAAAAATAATGCAACAAAACTTAGTCGACTAAGATTGAGAAACAAGGTTAGATTATATCAAACACAGAAACTTATTGCATAACATAGAGAAGCGAGAATTCCTGATTCAGGACAATAACTCAAATTCACTTGACTCTTCATCTTCAGACATTACGTCAGGGAACTGCAAAGAGTCCGTAACACAAGCATGGGTCTGAGCTTTATAAGTCTGACTGGATAGAAAAAAGAGATTTTGTGACGGAGAAGTAACGGGTGATTTGTACTCTGCATCAGATAAAGACAAAGCATCTTGATTTGGTGATTGGGTTGGGTCAAAGTAATGAGAGCTAGAGCTTGTATTGCAATTGGAAGGTTGGGAATCATCTTCAAGACGGTTGCCGGGCGAACTGACGCACATAGCATTTTCAGTAGCTTCACTTTCACTTTCACTTATCAATCTAGAATTTTCCTGACCTTCGTTACTGAATTCACAAACAGTTTCTTGCGAATCATTATTTTCAATCAGTTGTTTGTTGCAATGAGAAGCATTATCCGAATTCCCATCGATTTGAGACTGGCTTAATAGACGTTCCACTCCAACACTAAAACTCGTGGTTGCAGCTTCAACATTAGTATTATGACTGGTCACAGAGTCAACACAAGGAATAACAGCAGTATTGTGGCTTAATTCCTGATATGAGTTAGCCATGGAATTGAAAAGTTCAAAATCAGCAACATCATTACTTGGGGCACTGTTGAAGTTGATTTTGTTGAGTGTCGATTCTAAATTTTTTAGCTGAGAGACTTTGGAGAAAAGAGTGTACGAATCAGCCATTTGTTGACTTAAGTTCAACCTTTGTTGCCAGAAATCAATATCAATCTTGTTTTCCAGTGAGTTCGATATGGTTAAATCAAAATCATCTGAAGACCCCAAGATTAAAGGTGATGATTGGTTATTGTCAAAATTGTTTTCAATTTGATGTTCAAAATCGTCTGTTCCAACAGATGCATTTTTGGATGAGCTTAATAAATCTCTTGTGACAAAAAGATGATAATCATACACCCAATCATTGACAGCTTTCTCCTTACTTATGAAGGGTCGAACTACATATGTTTCATCTCCATATTTACAACGATACGATTTAAGAACTTCCGGAATGAGTAGCATCTCCACAAATCTTTTTGAGATGGCCTCCGATACGAGAGTACATTCCGAACTTTCTATTTCAGTGTAAGTAAGATAGAGCTGGAATTGGTACGGGCCAAGTTTGACCGATAGTTCAAGCTTAACTATTCCGTCTGAATAATTTACCATTTTCCAGAAATGTGATGATTACCACTACATAACCTAGAAAGAATAGAATGTTCAGCTCAAATGCTACAGTGAGATTGGGGCTACAGTGTAAATAAACCAAATAGTAGACCTAGATTCTGATGATGACTAAAAAGTCAGATTTTTTGAACAAATCAACTTCCAGTAGCGTACAATTAAAGGTCATAGACTTGAATCCTGGCAGAACATAACCATATCATAACCATGTCATAACCATGTCATAACCATGTCATAACCTTGCCATAACCATGTCATGCATAACCGCTTTTTAGTTGTGACATGGTTATGACGTTTGTCTGACATGGATATGACATACATGGTTGTGAGTTGTGACATGGTTATAAGATGGTTGTGACATGGTTATGCTGTCGGGAATCTAGTCTATGACCCAATTGAATCCTCGAATTGATGCCATATGTAAAAGCATATGCAAGTCTGGTCACCTTGCCACCAGTAATCAATATCCAAGTCTATAAATTATTATAAATTTTTGCAAAATAATCGCTCATATCATGAGACAGCTGGTATTGAACTAACAACAGTAAAACCCATAAAATTGTTCATTAAAATCTTTAATTTTTTATCATAATACACTCAATGTAATAAAGCTGCCCTTTAATCAACTTCATTAGAAGTAGTATTTCATGTACTTGCACATCAGACATACAATGTACCGTAATTCAAGATTTGGCTTAAGTATAAACCTAACTATCAAATTAAATCTTTGGACAACATAAAGTTAAACTCTATTCGATTCTGACCTCATTGGTCAGTATCAGCACTCAGTTCCGCTTTCCAACTTTTCACGGCAGATCAACTACTTTACAAATTTTTTTCCAATATATTTTCCAAATTTGGAACATATACAGAAGAGCTTTTACATAGCAAATTGATTTTGATAAAGTTTAATTATGCAACGATTCTTGTGAATATGAAACCTTTAGGTCAGCTTTATATGTAACACCACACAGGCATTAAAATTAAAAATACTTAAGTGCAATGAGTGAAGGTCAAAACTTATCAAAGTAAACCAATAAAAAACATGAAGCTTATACCAGACATAGTTGAAAGTCAATTGATGGAATTTGATTTTTAAGGGGTCTCACGAAATCAGTCTGACATAAGCAATTCATTAATAATAAGATTAATCATATCATGATTTTTCATTGTTGTAACATGTAAAGATGTTTGCGCAAATCGTGAATAGAAATTCAATATGATCAAGTAAGATTATACCAAAACACTGATATTTATGAAATTGTGAATAAATAAATATAAAAAATAGCCACGTTGCAGAAGTCTTATTCAAATGCAAAGGGAATCGTTAAACATGAAACATCATTTCATTTATGATTTCACAGTCCAAGACAGGTCAAGTACTACTCCCTGTGTCGCAAAGAATAAGAATTCCAGCCTCTAATCAGAAAATAGAAAATTTACACTTGTTTACGAAGGATATGTTTTGGAGACTTTAAGTGTTCAATTATTAAATTCTTAGTGGAGTAAATATTTTCACAAATTTTACAAAAGTACTGAAGATTTTTCTGGGCTGTTATTAATTTGACATTTTGATTGTAATCTTTTATAAGTGCCTCATCTACAATTCCTTCTAATTTAGGCAGGACAGTTTTACTTTGTGCTATGATCTTTTCTTTCTTTTGCCTATAGTACTGATGAAGATCAATATTAAAATGACTGATATTTAAGGCCATAGCATGAGTGGCAATCAGATGACTTTCAAATTTCAATTCCTCCTTAAACTTCATACTACAGGTTTTGCAAACATATGGGTTAGTGGAAGGTTCCTTACAGTAATACTGAAAGTCAAAAGTTACAATTGATTTTTTCTTATTCGCCTCACCAATGCCTTTCTTAACCTCAGACTCTGGTGTGTCAGGAGACAAAGTACTTGGATTCGAGGATTTGTTATTTTCAACAGGTTTTCTTTCTTTATTGTTGATTGCACTTCCGACAGTTAACGGTTCTGATGATTGTCTAAAGCGTTTCAAAGCTGGTTCTTGCTCATCAGACAGTGATGGAGTTCTTTTATTCTTAGAAACTGCTTGGTGGTAACTTTTTATATTATCAACAGGCAAAGCCCTTTTAGACGGAACAGCATCAATGGAACCACATAAACCAAGTGGTTCATCATGCTTGGTATCATTAAAATTCTCAGAAGAATTTGCTGATGCTGCATTAAAATTATCAGTTTTTGACTGACCAGTAGATTCCTCTAAACTATCAATAACTGTTAGATGGCTGTCATCTTCTGCCTTACTTTCACTAAGTTCTCCTCCCAGCACATTCAATACACTATTATCTGGCTCAAAATTCTTCAGAGTGCTCGCAATTTCTTTGTCATCTGCTTGAACTGCTAGTTCTGACTTTAAACTTTTGCTAACTTTGGCACAAACTGTTCCAACACTGCCTTGAGTCGCATCATTAACTTCTGATTTTGACACAAGTTCTTTATCTTCTGTCTGATTTTTACTGAGGTAACTCTCATTTAAGGAAACTGTTGGCACTAGCATTGAACTGCTATCAGAATTCCCATTGTTTTCAATAATCTTAAGTCCAACATTAGCATTTGATTCTGTATTATCATGAAACAAAGTAGTGTCTTCAACTAAAGAGGACTCAAGGGCATCACGGGTATTCAATGTCACATTCAGGTCAACAAATTCATCAGTAAGCGTAGTCTCAAGCGCCTCCTCAGAATTTTGAGAATTTTCGACATAATTGATAATATCCTCATTCATAGGACTGTTTAAGAGAGTCGAATTCCCATCCTCAGAGATTTTGCAAGGTGCTGCCGGTTCATTTGATTCCACAAGTTTTGATATTTCAAATGTATCTTTTTCTGCATTGGCACAGTCAATCACTTTTTCATACGTTTTACAAGTGTCATCCTTTTTCAAGGTTGGCTCCAAACTAATCGGCTCACTAAGTAACATTTCTTCATCAAGTGGATCAATGTTTTCGTGATCACCATCCTCATCATCTGTCCATAAGAGACTAGCCTCAATCTCTTCGTCGTCAAGATCATCGAGTTGAGTTGACATAATATGCAGACTAAACACTGAAACATTTGATGGTTTATGGATAAAGAATAGTAGATAATAATAAGTTTTCGAGTGATACAAATTTACATTTTACAACCTTTAGTATAGTATGGTATATTAGTATAGTACTATGTTTACAGTATGCTACATGTATATGTGCTGAATACCAGGGGTATCCGAAAGAGATTCTTGATCTTTTGGCAGAGCCCCTCCTCATTTAACCCTCAATCATGTTTCCGATCACTCATATGGCATGGCCTGGGTTGACCGAGGAGACATTACACAGATCTGTGTTAATTTGCATAGATCCAATGAGTCTTTAGCTACTTTGAAATCGATACAAAATTAACAAAGATATACAGGGTTGGCCAATATTGACTGCCCACCTAAACCTATGAATAATTCATGTAACTCCTATCAGAAAGGCCAACATAAACTAAGCACACCCCTCTCAACAACCCATGGATAACGGATGGTATTGCAGAAGCAGTTGATAAAAGACATACCCTACACAAAGATTGGACTGAATCCATTGCTAGCAGCGTTAACAAAGCTGGTGATGAATTATTGATTGAAATAAATTTTCGTGCACATACAGAATGAATGGTTAATAATTTAATATATATGTAGACCAAGGTCTGTGCACGGGATGCTTCCTGGAAGAATCCAGTTCTTTTAGCGGGGCACCCTACCTAAAGCCAAATTGAGATATAATAATCATATTCCTAGAGAAATAATCAGAAATCGAATACCAATCAAATAATATGATATATAGGAGTAGTAACCATATTTACTATGCAAAATGCCCCAACCACATAGTGTAAATTTATATAGAATTCAAATTCCATATCATCATTAAACCTCAATAGTCAATATAATAGCCCAAGCAAAATTAAATAACTTCTTATATACCTTACTGTCATACTACAAATTAATTGAACATTTGAAATCTGTTAACCAGAGAAAAATTTCTAAACCTTATGCAAGTGAAATAATTTAGATGCAATAATGAATGCCTAATGTGAGTATCATCTGTCAATGTCCTTGTAAAAAAGTCTGTAAAAGAGATATGAGTAACTAATATAGAAGAAAAAACAGGAAGTTGTCGTCTGTTGAAAAATAAATAAAATATCTAGAATATAAATTAGAATATAAAATAACATTCAGTCAATGTGTCGTCAATAAACTGTACAATTATCAAATGTTAAAACTGGGTGATACAGTCACCAAAAATAAATATCAAGTATAATAAGTAAATAAATTAAATGTGGTCTATAAAACTACCACTAGGTATAATAGGTCAATAAATTAAAAGTGGTTTATAAAACTACCACTGTGCGAACCCTTCCTCCAGTTAAAACATGTCAGTCATGTGCAAAATCAATCAAAATGGTAAGGTGGTAAAAAAAGGGAAAATCCTTTCGATACATCAATTATATATGCCTCAGATTTAAAAGAATTAGAAGATACTTAGTTATCGTCGACTATGATTGCAGTGTAAAATTTGTCATATGAATTGTCGACGGTATAATTAGGGTCTGTTGTTATAGATGAGAGTAGCTGTTTCTTATACGAATCACTTAAGCTTTTAACATCGGGCAGATTTCGTAGATCTGTTGGAACATTATTCCAACATTTTGCCCCCAAGTATTGAAAGTTTTTATGTGATGTTGATCTATTAACATATAGGTTGCAGCTTTCGCCGCTCCTACTACCTCCTGATATGTAACTAAATTTGTTCATAAAGTTTGTAGGACAATTGTCATGGATGATTCTAAACATATAATTTGACAGATGGAGTTGTCGTCTAAGATGGAGTGGTAACCATTTCATGTCTCTATAAACATTAAGGCTGCTCTCTGTTTGTGGAACGTTGAGAGCTATTTTGGCTACCTTTTTGTACAGAGTGTCAAGTTCAGCAAGTTTTGTCTTGCCAGCTCTACAATAGATCGTGTCTAAATAATCGAATTGTGGCAACATGAGTGCATTGGCAAACATTTTCCTATATTTAATGGGTAGCAGTGCTTTACTTCTATACATGGCACCAATTCTCTTCATGACCTTCTTAATAATATAATCTACATGGCTTTTGAAGTTTAATTTACTATCTAGAATGAGGCCAAGATATTTTGTCTCTTTGCACTCCTTGATTGTGAAAGTTACCTCATTACATTCAATGGTTAATTCATCATGTTGATCAACAGAATCAAACAATAGGAATTCAGTCTTCGTTTCATTGAGTGATAATTTATTTACACTGAGCCATTTAAAGATTGTCATAAGTTCTATTTTCATGTTTATAAATGTGCTTCTGCAGGTTTGATCAAAGAATAGTGCACCATCATCTGCAAATAGAAAGGGCTTAGATAGGTTACAGGCATAAATGATGTCATTTATGAAGATACTAAATAATATAGGCCCAATGATGCTTCCTTGTGGTACACCACTCAGAACTTCTAAAAATGAGCTTATTTTGCCATTGATCCTTGTGCATTGATATCTACAAGATAAGAAGTTCTTAAACCAGGTTAAAGCAATGCCACCAATTCCATAATATGCCAATTTTTGAAGCAATATTTCATGATTCACTGTGTCAAAGGCCTTCTTAAGATCAAGAAAGATGATTCCTGGTTTATAAGACTTAGATTTACTCATATATATTTCGTCCATCAGATCGTACATCAAATAAGTTGTGGAGTGATTTTTCCGAAAGCCATATTGATGCCGGATGAAAAGTTTGTTCTCTTCCATGTAATCAGTGAGTTGCTTGCCGACAAAGTATTCTATAAGTTTTCCTACAAGTGGAAGGATGGATATTGGCCTGTAATTATTAGGATCATCTTTCATTCCTGCCTTATGGATGGGAGTTACTCTAGCTTTTTTACAAAGGGTTGGTACAACACCTGTATTAAGGCTCAAATTGACAATATGGGTCAGTGGCTCAACTATGTGTGGTACAGCTTGCTTAAGTAAAAATAGAGGCACATCGTCATATGAGGCCTTGTCATTCTTGAGTGTTTCGACATACATTAGGATATCAGTTTCGTTTATTTCTTGGAATCTATCAAATGAGATGTTAGAAGTTCTAGGAGGTAAAAAATCAGTAAAACTAACTCTTTCAATATTGGGGGCCTGATTTTGTAATCTTGATCCAACATGACTACCGTAAACTACTTAAGCATATTATTAACACAGCAGTGTAAGGTACAACGGTGGAGGTACGTGTATGACTGTGCGTGAGAAGATTTACAAATTAAGGTCACGGTTGACCAGGTGTTCACGTTAAGCATCAAATCTCTATACAGTGAATGTCATTCACACACTAGAACACCCATGCAGCACACACTAGAACACCATTAGCATGCAATTGCTTGTGCAAATTATGTAGTACATAACCCTGCCCCTACGATGTATGCAGTGGCGTAACGTTGCCTGTTGGCGCCCCCCTGCCGAAAAAAGCGCCCCCCTGTTGGCGCCCCCTCCCTTTTTGGTGCCCCTCCCTAAAATTGAACAAATTAGGTGATTTTAAAGAATACGCCGGTAAAATCTCTAAAAAAGTGTGTATCTAGAGCAAAACGCGCAGTTTTGCTAGTACTTTAGTTAAGTTTTCGAAATTGTCCCACATTCAAACGACGATTTGGCGCACCCCCTAAGACGGCGCCCCCCTGCACAGCGGGGTCAGCAGGGCCTTTCGTTACGCCACTGGATGTATGATGGAGTAGATCATGTGCTTTTAAAAAATTGTGTGAGTAAATTTGATTGTTGATATTTCAAAAAATATTGGTAGCAATGGACCATTTCTGGTACCTGTGTATTGTGCTCTGCCGATCGTATATTTTATTTCAAATTCCAATTATGTCAAAACTCATCAATTTAAAGGTAATTTTAAAAATATCTTGAAATTTTTAATAAAACAATTTTCAGTTTTCATAATTTAGACCGTGAAAATTCATTTAATCTTACTATATATAAAGTGAGACGATATATATTTGTGCCATTTTACTGACACCACGGCATCAACTTTAACGCGACTTTCTGCAAAAACCGTAAAAGATATACAACTGAAACTTTTTTGGCTGGGTCAAATGCTTTAATAGCCTCCAAATCAGCATGAACAAATAAAGAATTGGCCAAGGAATAATGATTTTAGAGCCGAAAATTTGGATCCCCAAGTGGTGTCAAAAACGCCAATTAAATAGATAATAATTATTTTAGTCTTTTGAGTCTTGACAACGTTTAGGATTATATTATACTGTTCCTGCTAGTATGTAGTATAATATAATGTATGACATTGATGTTGCCATCATTTTTAAGCGTCAAAATGGTCTAGAAACCAGCTTTACTTAGTACATAATCAAGAAAGTTATATAGACATATTTCATACGTATTAAATTGAATGTGCCTTTGGCAGAGATATAACCTGCGCCAATAAAAAACATAAAAATTAGGCCCGCCCTAGCAGTTTTTTCTGATTTAACACTGAAAATTAACTTTATCAAATTATCAACTCATTTTTAATTCCTTCAGCGGTCAAAATACTTCTAGTCACTAGTAAGATTGTATCAGGTGGTGACCCCCACTGTCGCTTCACTATAGAGTTTTTTATAGGGTAAATTTTTACCCCCCCCCCCCCAATCAGTTTTACACATAGCTATTGTGTCAAATTACACTAGCGTTATCATTTGGAAATCCCCCTCAGCTGCATGAGTACGTAATACGTGAACGACCCCTTATTATATATATTAGTAAAAGCTGTGGAAACGATTTAATTAATTGCACGCATGGATTGTAGCGCGCGCGTGCGCTGCGCTAGCTAGCTGCCCGTTTTTACAAAACCGCGCACGTGTGTTCAAAAGTTTGACATCGCCGCTTACAACTTCGTATTTTATGATGGCATTAATCGGGGCATGTCCACGTATGCACAAATTAGGGTTTCAATTTTGCCAGCTACGCTCTGGTTCATTAGATCTAAATATGTAATTAGTTTTCGCTTCATATTAAGCATGGGTTATGAGACCTTTGATATGAAATCGACAATTCAGTTATGGCGGTATTCAGCCGCAGCCGCCCCAAGATAACAAGTGCATAATCTTAAGGTTGATGGTAGCCATGTACACATGAAAACGACGCATCTAAAGACGACTTGTGACTCAAATAGTTTCGGCTTTTTAACTCCATCCACAAGGGAGTATCACCTCAATAAATGTAATAGATTTGTATTTTATAAACTAGTTTATAAACTAGTTACAACACAACAAATCTATTACATTTGTTGAGGGTGAACAGAAAATTAAAAAAATAAAACTCGTCATTTATGAAAATAATTTAAGTACTTATAAACTGATATATTACAATATGCTGTATTACCAACAATCCAAATTGGTGTACAATGTACATTTAACCTAAAAAGCAAGCAATGAAAGAAATTATCTCAGATGACCATGTATAATAATATATAGATGACAAAATATCTGGTATTTGAAATTTTAACCATATCAAATAGACAATTTTCAAGGCATAATCAAAAAAGGTCGTTCTCTGACTTGAAATATTGACAGCTCTAATCTTAATTATATAAAAAAGAAAACAATTGACCAGACACATAAAAAGATGATATTCTCTGCTATTATACACAATATTACACTAGAAATGTAACCATCCCCTCTCTGAACCATAATAATGATGCATCTACAAATTTGAGTTGTGATAAAAACATTTATGAAGTGCTAGAAGTATCAATAATTTTAACATTCTAACATTCTTACACATAAACCCAAAATGAAATAAGTAATTAAATCAGCTCCTTAGAAAAAGAAAATGATATTGTTGTTTTGAGTGTTTAATAATTCTTATTATTCACATATCACATTGTTTAATTGAATGCGAAACAAAAGAAAAGAATCTAGAATATAAATTTATCCCAAATGAGTACTTTAAGATAAGTACTCAGTACTTATGTTTCTCGTTTAAATTTTGGCTTGCCTTTTGGCTGTCTTGTCCTCTTTAAATAACTGCTTCAGCAAATACACCTGAAAAAAATAACCCACAATTATTTCATGTCTTAGATAAGAAGGGGTTTTATAATCCATTAAGTTACTGTGGTAACAGTGTAGTATTGATTATAATCCATTAAGTTACTGTGGTAACAGTGTAGTATTGATTATAATCCATTAAGTTACCGTGGTAACAGTGTAGTATTGATTATAATCCATTAAGTTACTGTGGTAACAGTGTAGTATTGATTATAACCCATTAAGTAGCTAAGAAGTTTAGCTTGGTATAATTAATTAATTAAGACTGCACTACTACACTGTTACCATAGTAACAGTGTAGTATTGTTCGTATAGTGACCAGGTGTTTAAACTCCACGTGTCCTAATGGCTAATACGCAGGAACTATTTAAGATGGTCACTGTGTGAGCCTATCAGTGTAGGTATTGTGTTCAGTTGAAATAATAATCCAGGGTTTCAGAAACTTGTTGACTATTTTATAGAGTGTTGAGATTATGATTGTGAAATTGATGGTGTACCCAATTACAAAAAATACAATAAATCTATCAGTATCTGGAAAGAAAATTAAAGAAGAGTTTTGTCCTAATTGTCAATGACCTGGACAGTTATAGCCATGAGTACCATGAAGGCACACTACTATTACTACTGACCTGAACAGTAGCAATGAGTACCATGAAGGCACACTACTATCACTACTGACCTGGACAGTAGCCATGAGTACCATGAAGGCACACTACTATCACTACTGACCTGGATCGGACAGTAGCCATGAGTACCATGAAGGCACACTACTATTACTACTGACCTGGACTGTAGCCATGAGTACCATGAAGGCACACTACTATCACTACTGACCTGGACTGTAGCCATGAGTACCATGAAGGCACACTACTATCACTACTGACCTGGACAGTAGCCATGAGTACCATGAAGGCACACTACTATTACTACTGACCTGGACAGTAGCCATGAGTACCATGAAGGCACACTACTATTACTACTGACCTGGACAGTAGCCATGAGTACCATGAAGGCACACTACTATTACTACTGACCTGGACAGTAGCCATGAGTACCATGAAGGCACACTACTATCACTACTGACCTGGACAGTAGCCATGAGTACCATGAAGGCACACTACTATCACTACTGACCTGGACAGTAGCCATGAGTACCATGAAGGCACACTGTACCATACTCCACCGGTCCACCCTTATCTTATTACTGTTCTGTATCTTCTGGTCTTTGTTTCTCTGAGCTTTACTGAGTTGGAGTTGAACTTGAGTCTTGAAAAGCTGACTCTTTATGTTATCTACTTGTTTCTGAAGGGATAAAAGCGTATTGGTAAATCATTTACAACGTTTGAAAATTAAGTTACTAACATGGAGAGATGTGAAAATCGCGTAAAGTGAAGCAAGTTACTAACATGGAGAGATGCGAATCCCGCGTGAAGTGAAGCAAGTTACTAACATGGAGAGATGTGAATCCCGCGTGAAGTGAAGCAAGTTACTAACATGGAGAGATGTGAATCCCGCGTGAAGTGAAGCAAGTTATTAACATGGAGAGATGTGAATCCCGCTTGAAGTGAAGCAAGTTACTTACATGGAGAGATGTGAATCCCGCGTGAAGTGAAGCAAGTTATTAACATGGAGAGATGTGAATCCCGAGTGAAGTGAAGCAAGTTACTAACATGGAGAGATGTGAATCCCGCGTGAAGTGAAGCAAGTTATTAACATGGAGAGATGTGAATCCCGAGTGAAGTGAAGCAAGTTACTAACATGGAGAGATGTGAATCCCGCGTGAAATGAAGCAAGTTACTTACATGGAGAGATGTGAATCCCGTGTAAAGTGAAGCAAGTTATTAACATGGAGAGATGTGAATCCCGAGTGAAGTGAAGCAAGTTACTAACATGGAGAGATGTGAATCCCGCGTGAAGTAAAGCAAGTTATTAACATGGAGAGATGTGAATCCCGAGTGAAGTGAAGCAAGTTACTAACATGGAGAGATGTGAATGCCGTGTAAAGTGAAGCAAGTTATTAACATGGAGAGATGTGAATCCCGAGTGAAGTGAAGCAAGTTACTTACATGGAGAGATGTGAATCCCGTGTAAAGTGAAGCAAGTTACTAACATGGAGAGATGTGAATCCCGAGTGAAGTGAAGCAAGTTACTAACATGGAGAGATGTGAATCCCGCTTGAAGTGAAGCAAGTTACTTACATGGAGAGATGTGAATCCCGCGTGAAGTGAAGCACCCTCTTCTGCTGCTTTGTCATCTGTGTACACTCCGTCATCAACATAAACATCCATGAAGACTGTTTTACTCGTCAACTTGCTGTAATAGGGTCCTTATCAAGTCATAATATAGAAAATTTGGTCTTGTTGCGGCCAATCACCTGTTGTTATGGGGTCAAGTAGAGAATTCACCGTGGCCTGGGTGACTGAGGCCACGACAGTTTACTCGCAGTGTTATGTATTAATGCTTTTCATACAAAGTTACAACAACGTCTTCATGTTATGTATCCTGGGTTTGGACAGTATATTACCCGCTTAAAATATTTCCATCGCGTTACATAATACTCAATAAATGTAATAGATTTGTAGTGTTTTAATTAGTTTAAATACACTGCACAATGCACATATCATAAATAACACTGTAAGCTGTCGTGGCCTGGGTGACTGATGTTAAAATTATATATGTATTATATAAATTTAAATAATACCTGAATTTGTTACTAAAGCAGAACTTGTAGACCCCACTCTCTTTAACAGTAAAGGTATGTGTTCCGTATGACTCGCGGCGGTTTATTGCTATACGCTTCAGCGAAGAGTCGTATGCTTGAAAGTCAATGTCTAAATCTCCTCCATCTACAACCTGACACATATTAATTATTAATTATATAGAGGCCATAATATCTAACCAGCTACAGAGTACAAATTCAGTGATCGACCGAGTCCTTGGTTTTACCGATGAATGACGATTTTTCCTCGGCCTCGGCCTTGGTCAGAAGAATCATTCCTCGGTTCGCCTCGGCCTCGGTAAAAAATCGAGTTGCCATTCCACGGCCTCGGCAAAATCTGAAGATTTAACCGAGGATTTGACCGAGGAGTCAGAAACCTGGTTAACTAACGTCTTTTTGTGATAACTCGCCTTCATCCCAGGCAAAATATATTGAAATGAAAATGTACATGTACTTATTATGTATTATGTAATATAATGTTTAAGTTATGACTGATACGTCCATACTTACATAAACGGCAATCCTGAGAAATTCTACCTCATTCTACATCCTAATCGTTAGCGAAATATCTGATACAATTAATACTTTTTTCCTCGGCCTCGGTTGAAAAAATAAAACCTCGGTTCTCCTCGGCCTCGGTTAAATTACAATATGCCTTCCTCGGCCTCGGCCGCAAATCCTACCCTCGGTCGATCACTGAGTACAATATTAACAATATGTTGAGGCAGAGTTACCATATTGTCCTGTGAACACATGTTTTGTTAACAATATGATTCGATTAAAGCTGATTTCAATTCTACACAGCTTTCATATTCTTACCTGAAAGTCCATCTCGATCTCATGATTCTCTTGAACATCCTCATAAAAACACTGTTCCTTTCTAGCAGGAACTTGGAAGGTGAGTGCTGTTTCCAGAGAGGCGCTGGTTAATGTCAGGATGTAAGACACCACTATCAAATTAGCCACTGTAATTGTCATCATCTCCTGCGCCTTCCCTAGTCACCATTTATTCATTATTCTCACAGTTTCTTATTATTAAATCAGCAATATTTCGTGGCACTTTCAGTAAACGTTAAAGTGCAGTAAAATGCAGAGTAAGGATATAGCTATATAGTATATATATATATATATATATAATAACATCTATAAACAAAAGAGCACCTAAAGAGGCTCAGCAAAGTGCTGGCCTATTTACGCTTACAAAGACTCATTCGTTCAATATGTCTCAAAGTAAATAAACTCCTCCATCCTACTCTATCTCTTGCTAAGTTCACTAAGTTGGTAAAATCATCTTCATTTTTCAAATAAATTTGTCTCTTAAATAGGTCCTTTTTCACAATAATATCATACAAATTAGTCCTGTGTCTACCCACTCGTCCCTTTAGTGTTTGACATCCTAGTGTAGCAAATAACAGAGACTGGTATGCAGGCGTGTCGTTGTAACTGCGTAGAACATGACCTAGCATTG